CTGGCCGCCCGGCGCCCCGCGGCCGGCCTCGCTCGGCCTCTGCCTTACAAGGCGGGTCGGCACCGGCCCCGGGGCCACACGGCTCCCGGGGCGGGGGCGGCCCCTCCTGGCCCTCCCGGCCCTCGGTAGCTGGGAGACGGAGGGGCGCGCGGACCTGCCTCGCGGGTGGGCCGGTCGGGTGCGAGCCTCTCTGCGGAGACGCTGCGGGTCCGCGCTGGGGGCCAGGGTTGCGGGGTTGGGACCCCACGGAGCGGGTGCAGGGGGCGGGGAGGGGGCGCCCTGCGAGAGCCGGGGGACGGCGGGAGCGTGCGGTGAGCGCCTCGCTGGGGTCGGCGGGGAAGGGGTCTGGGCCGGGCACTGGGCGCTGTGAGCAGTTGGGCCGCTTTGAGGGGGGTGCAGGGGGCAACCCCATTCCAGCTGGAGGCGATCGGTCTTGCTGCGGACGGCCTGGGCCCCGGGCTGCCCGTGTGAAAGCGCAGACCTCAGAGCCTCTTCCACTGTCTCCCTCCTTCTCGAGCACCTGCTTCCCTCTCCCCTCCAGGTGGTGGGCTGGCGGGCACCCCCGCCGCCCTGGACAGCAGTGCTCAGCAGAGGTTCTGGGGCTGAGGTGATGGAGGTGCTAGGGTTGAGTTCAACGACTTGGAGTGCAGAGGTCTTCCCGTGGATCCTCCAGGACCCCCTCCAGTGGAGGAAGCCGCCCCAGGCTGCCGGGATGTCCAGCCTCCGGGGGAAGAGTGGCCTTCAGGTCATTTCCAGCTTCACCACCTTGTGACTGGCCAAGGAGCCACCCCAGGCCCTTCCTCCCCTCCCGGCTGCAAAGCCACCCCCACCCCAGGCTTACACACACACTTCACACACACCCGCCACCCCCTACCCCGGCCCCCAGGACCTGTCTCCATCCTGGCTGCAAAGCCCCCGCATCCCAACTTGACTTGAGTCTCACCTGAATCAGAATTGTGGCAGCAGCTTCTGACTTCACCTGGGATTCCAACCAGGCCAGGGGGCCACGGAGGCAGCAGAGGAAGCTAGGGTGCTGAGCTGGAGGAGGGGTGACCGACAGGCGGCCCCACAGGTGAGAGGACGCAGTTCCCCCCAGGGAGCGCAGCAGGCAGACGTGTCCTGCCCTCCCCACCTGGCCCTGGGCCCTGGGCCTTTCCCTCTAGCCCTCTGGTTTCTGCTTCTGCTCAAAACCAGCCGAAGATAGGCTTCTAATTCTAATTCCTCTGCAAAGGTTCACACTGCGGAGCCCAGGTGAGTCCAGAATCTTAGACCTGAAAGAGCATGAAGAGCAGGGAGTCACCCGAGGCCCGTTCCTGGCGAATCTTGGTCCTGACTTTCCTTGGTCCTGACACTGGGCTGCGCTCCGCCAGTCCCCCACAGCCCTGAGTGCCACCCACATTGTTCTTAACTACGCAAACGAAGTCATGAAGACCAGTTCTCAGGATTGTATCCCCATTGTTGTATTAGCCAAAAGACTAAGGTGTTCAATCTATTTTTCAAAGCCTGTGCCAATGCCATAATGTGACCCTGGTGATTTTGCCAAAGGTAGAACTGCTCTGGGAGGCGGGTGCAGGCTTCGGGTAGAAACTTTTGAGGGACAGAGTCCTTGGGAAGCAGAGACAGGGCCTGGGGGCCAAGGTGGGCTCCCACAACACGTGCTCCCCCCCAACGACAGAATTGCTGGAGCCGCAGCCCTCAGCCCTGGTTTGGGATCAGGGGACCGTTCTTCCATCTATGGCTGCCAGACTGATCCTCTGTGGGGGCTGATCGCCCCCTGGCCCTTGGTCGTCTGCCAAGACCTGGATGATCCCCATCTACCCTGCAGTTATTACAGCCCAGCTCGAGTAGGCAGGAGCAGGTCTGCACTGTAGCCATGTGGAGGCCCATGGACAGAACCGTCTGCCCTTGCAGGACACTGTGCTGGTTTTTCAAGGCCGTGGGGCAGAGGACCACGGCTGGGGGCTCAAACAGCAGAAGTCCTCACAGTCCAAAGTCAGGGTGCCAGTGGCCATGCTCCCTGCGATGGCTCTGGGGACCTTCCTACCTCCTCTGGCTTCGGGGCCGCCAGGTGTCCCTGGCTCCAGGCTGCATCGCCCAACCTGGGCCTCCATCCTCACGTGGCCTCCTCCCCCATGTCTGTTTCTGCCCTGCATCTTGCACCAGGACATGTGCGGATTTAGGGCCCATGCGGGTTGTATGGGGTGCCCTCCTGTCGAGTCCCTAAGTATGCCTGCAGAGACCACCATCTGTGCCATCCCCCAGGGATGGGCGCTAAGCTCTGGGCACCATCTCCGCATCCCAGTGCCCCCGGCCCAGCATCCTGGGCAGGTTCCATGTCCCATGTCTCAACTGTGCCAACTTGGCTCAGGACCCTGGGCCCCCTCCCCGAGGACCACCTTGGTGGGAGGCAGCTGTGGGCAGGAAGGGGTTGGGCTCTCAGGCTGTATAGAACTCCATATGCTGGGTGTGAACATGGTCCTTATTTTAAATCCCGAAGGACATCTTGGTTGAAATGCATCCTCGTTCACACACTTGGAAGCCTGGGTGGCTCCATCTTGGACCACGCAGTCTTCCCCAGGTGGGAAGCCGCTCGTGGGCCGCGGGCTGTGTCCAGGCCCCACTCAAGCAGCAGTGGGGACCCGTCCATCTCGCTGGAGGGGGGGGCAGAGCTTTGGGGCTCCTGGTGCTGCTCAGCTCAGGCAGAGTTGCCCTTCATCGCAGACGAGACCCAAGGAGCTCTGTGCAGCCCAGGGAGGGGGGCGCCCTCAGCGTGAAGCCCTGGACGGACTCTGCGGGCGGCCCCTCTGCGGGCGGAGCTGCTGTGTGCTCACTGCGGGTCAGCGCCCGGCGGGGCCCCCTCCCCTGGGAGGTGTGTGGGGAGGGTGGACAGCCAGCTCCTTGCAGGAATGTCTTCAGGATGACCCAGTGTGGGGACGCCCAGCACCCGCTCTGTGCCCATGGGGGGCCCTGTCCTGCGCATAGAGGCCTCCTGGGGTGGACGTCCAGCCAGGTCCCATCAGGGGCCGGACACTCGCTGCAGATTGTGAAGAATCTCACGACAGTGGCAGGAGAGCACTGGACCACACCTGGGGGTCCTGGTGTGAATGGCCCTCATCACCATCCTGAGTTTAAGGCAGCGCCACAGGATTCAGAGAGGTTGAGCTGCTGACCCAAGACACACAGCGGGTTTGGGGCAGGGCTGGCGTCCACCACCAGCATGTGCTTGACGGTTACCTTGGAGACCTGTATTTTGACTTAGGTTTACCCTTGCAATCACAAACCTGGGCACAGAGTCTTATTAAGAAAGCCGTATAAATTTCTCATAGTTTAAGATGATTCCGTAATTTTTATTCTAAAAAGATTTTCAGGACCTGGGACCCGTTATTTACTCTGCTTCTAAGAAAATCTAGCCTGGCTTCAGCTCAGCAAGGAGGCTGGGGGCTTCCCCTTGGGTCTGGGGACCCGCCACCCACCTGTCCCTCCTCACCTCTGCTTGTGCCAGACCTGCAGTGCTGACCCTCCAACATCTTTGCCCCAGGTTGGCGTTGTTGGGTCCATGCTTCCACACTGACTGCTACTTCTATCACCCTCTGTGATGCCACCCCTCCTTGTGTTACCTTTCTGCCCTTCTCCACAAGATCTCTAGGTGGGGGTGTCTGTTCACACGGCTTGGGATACGTGATGCCTCCTGTAACTGTACTTTCAAGTCCTTTGTCAGTTCAGGGACCCATCAGCCCTTGTAACGCTTGCCCCCTGCGTGCTTGTCTCCCTGGCCTCCAGCTGGACACAGGAGACCCCCTTCCACCCTCCCTCTCTGCCCACCTCTCCTCCTCTGTCCATCTCGTCCTCTGCTGGGTAATTTCCTCAATTATCTTCCAGTTTAATAAGTCTTTCTTCAACTGTGTTTATTATTTCACTTACTTTAACAAGTGTATTTATTTCTGAAAATTCTACCTCTTTTACATGCCCTTCTGATCATGTAGAAAATCCACTTGTTGCTTATTTTTTGTGATTATTGTATATTTACATAGTTCATGCACCCTACTGAATACTCTGTTTCTGATCATGAATTTCAAGTTCCCGGGGCCTGAATCCACCTTCGTTGTTTGTTGACTTCCACTCACAATGGTGTTTTCTTTGATCTTTGATTGTGAACTTGCTTTGATTGATCCTAAACTTTGAAATCGAGAGCTCTCAGAAATCTAGAACCTCAGCTTTGGCCATCTTATTTAAGTCTGTTTCTGCCGCAGTCCCTGACTTTGTCCTGGAATCTTGCAACAAGCCTGCTTTGACTCAAAGCCTTGTTTCAAACCAGCCCACCCTTCTTGTGCTCACCATGTATCTCCAAGCTCACCTTCTTCCTCTAGTTTCAGCCAGAGGGTCCTGGAGGGTCACACCTCAACTCAGGGGGCTCCCCCCAGAGACAGGCTGGGGAGCCTGTTCCAGAGGCCCAGACCGGGCCTGGCTCCCACCAGGCTGCAGAGCCTGGCATGGGGAGGGCCGGGGTCAGCTGCCAGCCCGCCACGGAAGCCGCTGCCCAGAAGCCAGCTACCAGGGCTGATCTCAAGTTCATTGCCATTAGAATTAACTTTTATTATTTCCTATAAAACTTACTGAAGATTTCCAAAGAATTTTCTTAAAAAGCTACTTAAATTCATACAGTTCAAAACATTAATAATCAACGAAAGTAAAAACATGGCACCCAGCCCGTCTTGAATCTGCCTTCTTTCTGGAATAACGTGTAGACATGTTTAGAAAACTAGGCGGGTCTTTAACATACGGCTTCTGGAGTGAGGGAGATGCGAGTTCATGAGACTCCTCCTGCGTGGCCAGAAGCAGCGGCCTTCAGCTCTGTTCCCTCTTGATGCCGGGGGGCGGGGCTCTGAAGATGGGCAGTGGGGCCCAGGTCTCCTCCTCGAGGTGGAAGCCAGGCTGGGTGGCATGGGCAATGCCAGCCAGAGGGAGGGGCACCCTGGGGACCTGGGGCACATGCCCTGGCTCTACACGAGCTGAGGAGCCCTGTCCCCAGGCTCCGGGTCCTCCGGCATCGTGGTCATGGCAACGGGGGTGGGGCTGCTGGGCACAGGGTCCTTCGCGGAGGTGCAGCCCCTCACCTCTCTGACGACTGGGATGCCCTCCTCCCCACACTCTCCCTTGATGGCAGGCAGGCTCTTGGGTGCCTGGGCGGACGGCATCCCCACCAGCATGCGGGGCATCTGCTGGACGTCCAGTTCGCCATCCAGCCCTCCGGGGATGTTGATGACCGTGGACTCCACGGTCCAGGGCTCCTGGTGGCTGGGGACGGTGTCCTGGTGCTTCTGGGGCCACGTGTCCTGGTTGTGGCCCTGCAGCGGGGATGGGAGCTGGAGGGTTTCCGGGACAGACTCCGCGGCTGGGATCCCGGTGGAAAAGGACCCCTGGATGCGGGACTCGGGTGGTTCAGGCCCCTGGGCTCCTGCAGAGAAAAGAGATGTCCCCATGAGCACCTCGGGGCAGGGGTGGGAGTGGAGCCCAGACGCAGCATAGGGCCCTGCACAGAGGCCCCCAGACAGTAGGGTCCGGCGTGGGCAGCAGAGCCCAGGCCCAGCCCCATGCGCCTCTTCCTGCCCCTCGGCACCTCTGGACGCTCTGTTTCACTCTCCCCGTGCGCCTCTTCCTGCCCCTCGGCACCTCTGGACGCTCTGTTTCACTCTCCCCGTGCGCCTCTTCCTGCCCCTCGGCACCTCTGGACGCTCTGTTTCACTCTCCCCGTGCGCCTCTTCCTGCCCCTCGGCACCTCTGGACACTCTGTTTCACTCTCCCCGTGCGCCTCTTCCCTGCCCCTCGGCACCTCTGGAGGCTCTGTTTCATTCTTTCTCAGATGTGCTTTGCTCATGTTCAGTCATGTCCGACTCTTTGCGACCCCATGGACGGTAGCCCACCAGGCTCCTCTGTCCATGGGATTTTCCAGGTGAGGATACTGGAGTGGCTTGCCATTTCCTTCTCCAGAGCATCTTCCTGATCTAGGGATCGAACCCAGGTCTCCTGCATTAGCAGTTGGGTTCTTTACCAGCTGAGTCACCAGGGAAGCCCCTCAGATGTGCTGGTAATTAACAAGTTTTCTGTTCTCTTCAGATATTTTGAACTTTGTCTTTTATTTCTCTAAGCAAAATAAACCCTCGCAGTTACTCGGTGATTTCGCCTGCTGAGTCCCGAGGCCCTTGGGGCTGTTTCTCCTGTGGTTTCGCGGACTCTCACTCAGGTGCTTTGTCTCCATGGGGAGTCGGTCACTCGGACGGGGAGCGACTGGTTTTCTGTGTTCTGTGTCCTCAAGGCAGCAGCATTGCGTGATGAAGGGTGAGTCTCAGAGGGCCCCTGCCTGGCACTCAGGATGACCCTAACCCTCTGTTGGTTCTCAGCTGGGGGCTCAGGGTCACCCCCTTTCACAAAGGGTCGGCCAGGGGTCTGGCTGGGGTGGAGCGTTGGGGTCCTCTTGTTCATCCCTGCACTTGGGGGACCCGGTTTTATGGGACAACTTAACCCATAAAGTCAGGTCGGCCCTGGACGCGGCCCTCTGTGTCTCCCGCCTGTCTGTCTGTGAAGGTTAAACTCGGCGGGGCTGCTGCCCCGGGTGTCTCTCTGGGTCTCTCTGCCTCAGTCCCCTCCCGAGTCCCTTCCCTCCCAGCTGGCTGTACCACCCACAGGAGGCCCGCCCCGTGTGTGGCGCACCCGCACCCGCACCCACCATGCGCCTTCGGTCCTCGGAGTCAGCCTGCTCACTCAGGCTCACAGAGCAACCTCCCTTCTTCTCTACCAGTTTCAATGACTTCACGTTTGTACTTTGTGATCCTCCAAAACTGCCTTTCGTGGAACCACGTAAACATCTAACTACCCTCCCGGCCGCCCGCTCCCTCCCCGGGGTCGGAAGCGCCAAGCCCCACGTTAGGCATTTTGAAGAGTTAACAGCTCAGGTGTCCTGTACTCCTCAGGGATGCACGATCGTGAGATGTTAGCATCGTGAACATTCATTATTGCAAAGCTGAGTGGTGGATGTTCTTCAGGCTCTGAAAGGACGAACACTCACGAATGATGAGGTCTGGAGCCCCCAGCGGGCGGGACGCAGCGGGGCTGAGCCCGAGCGTCTGGGGGACCCTGCCCTGCGGCCACACGGTCACTCTTGGGCTCCTCGGCTCTCGTGGGGCCACAGGAGAGGACAGCAGGGTGGCCTTCAGCCCGGCAGACATCCACTGCTGCTTCTTAGACCCATGTCCAGCTTTACCTCTGGAGCCCACCTCTGTTTGGCACACAGCGGGGGCAGGGGCTGTCTGCGGACCCCCAGCAAGCTCCCCCTTCTCTGCATCACAGAGACAAGTCCCGGCCCTGGCTTTCTCTGGCGATTTCTCTCCTTTTTCTTTTGAGAATATTGGACGTGCTAGAGAATCAAATTTAGGTAGACCTCGACGTGCCCGGACTGCAGAGGGTCTCACCTGAGGCAGAGCCTTGCTTTTCAGCCACGTCTCCTGCTCTAAGTTGCTTTCTTTCTCTCTGATCCTTTGTATTCTACAGAAAGAGAAATCACAGGGAACCCGTGATGCAGGGTCTGTCACACTGCTGAGGACAGCAGAACAGGCAGCACTTTAGAAAGGACGCTTCAGAGACAGACAGGTCTGCCCCACCCACTTTGAGCTGCGGTGGTCACCAAGAGCTCCAGAACCTTCCCCTCGACCTGGGGCTGGAGCCACGACAGCCTCGGGGAGAGTGCTGACCCTTCTCAGGCCTGTGCATCAGGACGGACACAGGGGTGCTCTGTCTGGCACATGTGGGGGTCTCAGGGAAGCCAGGGAGACCCCTGTGATTCCCAGCACAAGAAAGGCTGGCTGCCGCCTGTGCGGGCGTCTGCCTCCTAAGAAGCCTGAGCATCTCACCCACATCTAGACACAGGCGTGTGTCCCCTGCCCGGCCCAGAGAGACTGTCCTGTGTCCGCCGGCTGGCAGGTCGGAGGGGTGGCCGCAGTTCTTGCCAGACTCGCTGAAAGGTCAGGGATGCGCTCATTCCAACTTTCAGTGGTGCATGTGCGGGACCCAGAGACTGGGCCTATGCAAAACTTCTCTCTGAGAGTCTAGACAGCCTTACAAGCAGATATGTTGCTGGGAGACTTCTCGGTCAAAACAGCACATCTGTAAATGCTCTCGTCCCTTTCCTGGTCCAGGACTTTAAAATTATCATCAAGGTATCAACAAATAGTGACAGATATGTTAGTGCATGAAGATACAACTTCAGGGGAGACAAAGAAGGAACCCTCGCTGGGCCAGAAGCACCGACGCCCCACAGAGGAGAAAGCAAAGGCCCAGAGGAGGTCAGAGGAGGCTGCTGTGGACGGTGGGAGAGGCCCTCATGAAATCCACCGCAAGCGAGGTGGGGGCAGCCGTGGGAGTGGGGGTCCCGATGGATAACCTGCTGGGGCCGCAGCAGGCCGAGCAGCCAGGGAGTCAGCCGGTCGCTGCTGCAAAACCTCCTGAATCCACAGCAACAGCGGGGAGCCTGGCCCACACGAAAGCGGTAACCTCAGTGGACAGAGGGCCGTGTGAGCTCACACACCCAAGGGCGTGGCACCCAGGAAGTGGGGTGGGGGTGGGGGTGGGGGTGGGGGGTGGGGTGGGCTGAGGTATCACCCAACACCCAAGCACCGCTGGGAGTCAGGAGCAAAGCGCTGCTGTGGCGTGAAGGGGAGAACCCGGCGCAGCGTGTGCGGGACGCGCTGGAGGGTGTGGGGCAGAGCCTGTGGGAGGGCATGGGGGCTGGCTGGGGGGGCTGCACATCAAAGCGCACGGAGGTCTGCTGAAAGGAGAGGGGAGCTGTCGGAACCTTCAGAAACTTGCCCTCCACCGCGGGGCTTCCCAGGTGGCACTAGTGGTAAGGAACCTGCCCGCCAGTGCAGGAGATATAAGAAATACAGTCTCCATCCCTAGACTGGGAAGATCCCCTGGAGGAGGAAACGGCAACCCACTCCAGTATTCTCACCTGGAAAACCCCATGGACAGAGGAGCCTGGTGGGCAACAGTCCACAGTGTCCAGCTGCAGCTTCAGGGAGGGCAGCCCCCACTCCCCACTCTGTGCAGCGCTGGTGTGCAGTGCAGTGCAGGTGTGGGGTGTGTGTTCTGGCTGACCCAGCCCTGCCCTGAGGGATGGGCACAGCTGCTGTCCTGGTTCTGGCCCCCTTGGCAGTAACAGCCTCCCGCGTGCCGTCCAGCGAAAGACTTAAAGAGACAGGACCTTACGCCTCCTGCTTGCAGCCAGACAGTCAAGGATGTCTTCCCCAGGCCACTGGCTGACCAAACAGGCAATGGAAGAAAATTTTCAGTAACAAGAAATACACTCTTTGCAAAATTCAGCCTTCAACAGGCAAAAATCTATAATCTCCAAGGAACAAATCTGACTTCCATCGTTATCACATGATAATACTACAAAGAAACAGGAAGTTCGGACTTTCAAGTTAACAGTCAAGGATATTAAGTCAGCTGTCTCAGAAATACTCAATGAGTCAGGACATCAAGGACGAAGAATTAAAGGAGATCAGGATAATGGTGTAAGAACAGATCAGAATATCAACAAAGAAGTAAAATTATGAACAGAAACTAAACAAATTCTAGAGCTAAAAAGTATAAAAGTTGAAATAAAAAAAATTCACTAGAGGAGCTCAACAGATTTGACCAGTGAAAAAATGATTAAAAAAAAAACTTAAACTGAAATTATTAATATCCAATCTGAACTGTAAAGAAAAAACAATGAAAGGAAGTGAATGGAGCCTGGTGGGCCTGTGGGTCTCCATCAGAGGTATCAAGATATGCCTTGTAGGACTCCCAGAAGGAGGAGAGAGAAACAAAGCAGAAAAACAGCTGAAGAAATAATGAAAACTTCCCCAAACGGATAAAAACCTGAATCTACACATCTAATCTACACTCTCCATGAAGAGTATGAAAAGGCAAAAAGATATGACACTGAAAGATGAACTCCCCAGGTCGGTAGGTGCCCAAATTGCTACTGGAGAAGAGGGGAGAAGTAGTTCCACAAAGAATGAAGAGGCTGAGCCAAAGCAAAAAATCCACAATGCCCAGCTGTGGATGTGACTGGTGGTGGAAGTAAAGCCCGATGCTGTAAGAACAATATTGCGCAGGAACCTGGAATGTTAGGTCCATGAATCAAGGTAAATTGGAAGTGGTCAGACAGGAGATGGCAAGAGTGAACATCGACACTTTAGCAATCAGTGAACTAAAATGGACCGGAATAGGTGAATTTAATTCAGGTGACTGCTATATCTACAACTGCGGGCAAGAATCCCTTGGATGAAGTGGAGTAGCCATCATAGTCACATAGTCAACAGAAGAGTCTGAAACGCAGCACTTGGGTGCAGTCTCAGGAACAACATAAGGATCTCTATTTGTTTCCAAGGCAAACCATTCAATATCACAGTAATCCAAGTCTATGCCCCAACCACTAATACCAAAGAAGTAGAAATTGAATGGTTCTATGAAGACCTACAAGACCTGCTAGAAAGTGAAAGTCACTCAGTTGTGTCTGACTCTCTGTGACCCCATGGACTATACAGTCCACGGAATTCTCCAGGCCAGAATGCCGGAGTGGGTAGCCTTTCCCTTCTCCAGGGGCTATTCCCAACCCAGGAATCGAACTGGGGTCTCCTGCATTGTAGGTGGATTCTTTACCAATTGAGCTATCAGGGAAGCCCTTCTAGACCTTCTATAACTAACACCCAAAAAACATGTCCTAAGGGGACAGGGATACAAAAGTAGGAAGTCAAGAGATACCTAGAGTAAGAGGAAAGTTTGGCCTTGGAGCACAGAAGGAAGCAGGCAGAGGCGAACAGAGTTCTGCCAAGAGAAGGCACTGGTCATAGCAAACACCCACTTCCAATGACACAAGGGATGACTCTACACATGGACATTACCAGATGGTCAATACCAAAATCAGACTGATTATATTCTTGGCAGCTGAAGATGGAGAAGCTCTATACAGTCAGAAAAAACAATATTGGGAGCTGACTGTGGCTCAGACCATGAGCTCCTTATTGCCAGATTCAGATTTAAATTGAAGGAAAATAGGGAAAAATCACTAGACCGTTCAGGTATGACCTAAATCAAATCCCTTATGATTATACAGTGGAAGTGACAAATAAATTCAAAGGATTAGATCTGATAGAGAGAGTCCCTGAAGAACTATAGATGGAGAATCATAAATTGTACAGGAAGTGGTGATCAAAACCATCCCCAAGGAAAAGAAATGCAAAAAGGCAAAAGGGCTGTCTGAGGAGGCCTCACAAATAGCTGAGAAAAGAAGAGAAGCAAAAGGCAACGGAGAAACATAAAAATATACCCATCTGAATGCGGAGTTCCAAAGAATAGCAAGGAGAGATAAGAAAGCCTTCTTAAGTGAACAATGCAAAGAAATAGAGGAAAACAATAGGATGGGAAACACTAGAGATCACTTCAAGAAAATTAGAGATACCTGGGGAACATTTCATGCAAAGATGGGCACAATAAAGGACAGAAACTGTATGGACTTAACAGAAGCAGAAAATATTGAGAAGAAGTGGCAAGAATACACAGAAGAACTATACAAAAAAGATCTTCGTGACCCAGATAACCATGATGGTGTGATCACTCACCTAGAGCCAGACATCTTGGAGTGTGATGTCAAGTGAGTCTTAGAAAGCATCACTACTAACAAAGCTAGTGGAGGTGATGGAATTCCAGCTGAGCTATTTCAGATCCTAAAAGATGATGCGGTGAAAGTGCTGCGCTCAATATGCCAGCAAATTTGGAAAACTCAGCAGTGGCCACAGCACTGGAAAAGATCAGTTCTCATTCCAATCCCAAAGAAAAGCGATACCAAAGAATGTTTCAACTACTGCACAATTGCACACTTTTCATATACTAGCAAAGTAATGCTCAAAATTCTCCAAGAGAGGCTTCAACAGTACGTGAACCAAGAACTTCCAGATGTTCAAGCTGGATTTAGAAAAGGAAGAGGAACCAGAGATCAAACTGCCAACATCTGTTGGGTCATAGAAAAAGCAAGAGAATTCCAAAAAAAATCTACTTGTGCTTCCTTGACTGCGCCGAAGCCTTTGACTGTGCGGATCACAGCAAACAGTGGGAAATTCTTCAAGAGCTGGGAACGGCAGACCACCCGCCTGCCTCCCGAGAAACTTGCATGCACGTCAAGCAGCAGCAGTGAGCGCCGGGCGTGGAAGCGCAGGCGGCTCCAAGTCGGGGAAGGGGCGCGCCAAGGCTGTATGTCGTCACCCTCGCGCTTAACTTACGTGCAGAGCACATCACGCTAGACGCTGGGCTGGATGAAGCACAAGGTGGGATCAAGATTGCTGGGAGAAATATCAGTAACTGCAGATATGCAGAGGACACCACCCTAATGGCAGAAGGTGAAGAGGAACTAAAGAGCCTCTTGATGAAAGTGAAGGAGGAGAGCGAAAAAGCTGGCTTATAACGCAGCATTCAAGAAACGAAGATCATGGCATCTGGTTCCATCCCTTGATAGCAAATAAATGGGGAAACAATGGAAACAGTGACAGACTTTATTTTCTTGGGCTGCAAAATCACTGCAGATGGTGACTGCAACCATGAAATTGAAATATGTTTACTCCTTGAAAGAAAAGCTATGATCAACCTAGACAGCATATTAAAAAGCAGAGATATAGGGATCGGGTGGAGAGGGAGGTGGGAGGGGGGACCGGGATGGGGAATACATGTAAATCCATGGCTAATTCATTTCAATGTATGACAAAAACCACTGCAATGATGTAAAGTAATTAGCCTCCAACTAATAAAAATAAATGAAAAAAATAAAAATAAATAAATAAATAAATAAATAAACTCTAAGAACTTTTCATACTGTTACATTAAAAAAAAAAAAAAAAGCAGAGATATTACTTTGCCAACAGAGGTCCCATATAGTCAAAGTTATGGTTTTTCCAGTAGTCATGTATTGATGTGAGAGTTGGACCATAAAGAAGGCTGAGCCCCAAAGAATTAATGCTTTTGAGCTGTGGTGTTGGAGAAGACTCTTGAGAGTCCCTTGGACTGCAAGGACATCAAACCAGTCCTTCCTAAAGGAAATCAGTCCTGAATATTCACTGGAAGGACTGATGCTGAAGCTCCAATCTTTTGGCCACCTGATGTGAAGAGCTGACTCACTGGAAAAGACCCTGATGCTGGGAAAGATTGAAGGCATCAGGAGAAGGGGACAACAGAGGATGAGATGGTTGGATGGCATCACAAACTCAATGGACATGGGTTTGGGTGGACTCCGGGAGTTGGTGATGGACAGGGAGGCCTGGCGTGCTGCGGTCCATGGGGTCGCAGAGAGTCGGACACGACTGGGCGACTGAGCAACACAGTCGAGAAGCTTAACTGAACCCCAAGCAAGAGAAGCTAAAACCCTCAGCGAGACATGTTACGGCCGGTTTCCTAGGACTAAAGAGAGGCAGAGCTAATGACAAAGGAGTGGTCCTTGGTGTCATAAACAGCAGCTTTTCATCAGATTCCACGGAGGCCAGAAGGCACCGGGGTGACACAAGGTCATGAAGGGAACAAAACCACCAGCCAAGAATTCTAAATCCCCCACAGCTATCTTTTAAGAATGATGGAGACATTAAGACATCTTCAGGTAAACAAGGGCTGAGGGACGTTATTACAACATACCCGCCACACAAGAAATGCCAAGAAGAGTTACACAGTTTACCAGTCTCTCCAAATTCTTCAGGTTAAGATGAAAAGGTACTGGACAGCAAAGCCATAAAAGCAATAAATAATACAGGTAGAGGTAACTACATATGTTAATTTATAAGCCAGTATTACTGTACTTTGACTCATAACTCTTCCCCTTTTCTATATGATTTAAAGATAGATGCATAAAACAATAATTATAAATCTCTGTTCATGGGCACACAATATACAAATATGTAATCTGTGACATTAACAACATAGAGGAGGAGAGATGGAAATGTATGAGAATAGAGTCTTGGAATACTATTGAATACTGAATTCAAATACTATTGAAACTGAATTAGTATTATTCAAACTTTATTGTTATAAATTTAGAATGTTCATTGTAATCCTCAAGGTGACCATTAAGAAGATGACTAAAGACCATGTAAGAAAAGGGTACCATACAAAAATTCAATTAAATACAAAAAAGTCAGTTGTATTTATTCCTCGACTCTTAATGGAGGAACAATATATATATAATAGCTGAGTAGCAGAAGTAAATCCTTATCTACTGATTAATTACCTTAAACATGAATGAAGCAGGAAACAGTAGAAATCCCATGGGAAGTGGGGAGCCAGACCCCTGCCTCACACCACACACACCAACAACCACAGATAGGAAAGGACCCAGCTCTCAGGATCAAAATGTTAAACTGTCGGTAGGAAGTATCGTCAGACTCTCCTTTAGGTCTTTGGGTGCAAGATTTGTGAACAGAGCCCCAAAGCACTATCTCTGAAACATTCGTAATTGTGATCCCCGGGCCCACAGGCTCACCTGGGGTGGCGGGGAGCTCTCGGGGGTAACGGTGCTGACCGAGCTCAGGCTGGAGCACCTGGAGAGTGGAGGCAGGAACTCCTTGCGCTTGACTCTGCTGGACCGTGAGAGACAGAGGCATGGGGGATCTGGGGTGGGGCTGGGGTGCCTGAGGGCTGCAGGGGAGAGTGTGTGTGTGCCTGTGTGTGTGCACACGCTCATGCATGCGTGTGTGCCCGTGCGCGTATGTGTGCGCACTCATGAGTGTGTGCTCGTGTGCGTGTGTGTGAACCGTCGGAAGGGCCGCCTACACTTGCACAGACGGAAATCAAATGAGCTGATGCCTGGTGTCCTTCAGCTCAGGCGCCAGCCGTGAGCAGGGTGGCTGCAAGGGGTTGTGACTTCCAGGTTGGGGCAGACCTGAAAGCCAGTCAGTGACTGAACTCCACAGAGGGCTTTCCTGCCCCAAATGCTCCGTCACAGGTGGATTGCTCTCCTAGGAAACCTGAGCCAAGGCGCGCCACCAGCCCCCGTCAGATAGAAAGGCTCGCAACTCACCGTATGGCGGACGTGCTCCGGCCAGAACACAGTTCCTGTGGGCAGGAGGGGAGAAGCACGGTTAGGAGGAGCCAAGAGCCAACACCCCTGCCCTCCCCCACGCCCTGGCTGTCGTGTCAGGGCACCTGGGGGCCCCTGGGTCCACGGGGGACGCTGGAGGACGGTGCCAGGCCCCACCCTCGAGCTCTGGCTGAGCTGCGTCCCTCCCTTCCATGGTTGAAGTCCTGTCCCTCATGACTTGTCACGGTCCTTGGAAACAGGGCCTGCACAGAGGCTAATAGTGAAGCCAGGTCACTCGTGTAGGTCCCGGCGCACGAGGCCTGATGTCCTCGTGGAAGGACGAACTCAGGACGGAAACCGTGTGCCCAGGTGGCGCTGACGGCTCAGAGACACCAGCCCTGGCGACGCCCTGACCGCAGACTTCTAGCTCCAGGATGGGAGCAGGAAGTGAGCTGTCTAGGCAGCTCGGCCCTGCAGCCCCAGCAGAGAAACACACCGTCACACGTGTGCATGTGCTCGCTTCTCCTTGGTCAGGGCGGGAGCGGGACAGCCTGGTCACGTGAAGGCCCCCACTTGACTCCCGGGGTGCAGGCCTGGCCTCTGTGGCCCCATCCTCCCTGCCTCTGGCCCATGCTTGGCGTCTGTAGGTTAGAGCCTCACGGGCAGGTGTGTGGTGACGCCTTGCTGTGGCTCTCATCTGTGCGTCCTCGGTGCCTGATTCTGGGCGTCTTTTCAGGTTCTCATTTGCCACTGATAGGATCCCTTTGGTGAAGAGTTTGTTCAAATCTACAGTTTGAACTGTGGTGCTGAGAAGACTCTTAAGAGTCCCTTGGACTGCAAGGAGATCCAACCAGTCCATCCTGAAGGAAATCAGTCCTGACTATGCATTGGAAGGACTGATGCTAAAGCTGAAGCTCCAATACTTTGGCCACCTGAGGCGAAGAGCTGACTCATTGGAAAAGACCCTGATGCTGGGAAAGATTGAAGGCGGGAGGAGAAGGGGATGACAGAGGATGAGATGGTTGGATGGCATCACTGACTCGATGGAATGAGTCTGAGTAAACTCCAGGAGATGGTGATGGACAGGGAGGCCTGGTGTGCTGCAGTCCATGGGGTTGCAAAGAGTCAGATATGACTGAGCGACTGAACTGAACTGAGGTTATTTCAGATTTTTGTTATTATAAACAAAGTTACAGGGAACATCTCTGTCACAGATCTTTGTTTTTCTAAGGCTGGGGCTGTAAGTTAACGGTGGTAGACAGCCGGTGCCAGTGGGTCATCTCCTCTAATCATCACCCACTGACTCAGAGGTTTGCGTGGGGCCCCCTGCCCAGGGTCCCTGCCCAGGAAACTGCACAACAGGGTCAGACCCAGGAAGCCTTGGAATCTATTTTCATTCTTGGGAGTGCAATTCCTGGGTCCAAAAGTTTGTCAGTGGGTTTACCCCAAGGAAGACCCTTTAAAAGTATACCAGTGACCTAACAAGCCTCATGGTGACTGAACTTGCAGTTTCAGAGTGCATCTCAAGGTCGTCTCTCACACACAAAGGAGACAGAGGTGATAACTTGCAGTCATCTCACGATGGACACATGGTTCGTTTTTCTCTTTAATAGGTAGCACTTTGTGTACCGTATCAAAGGAAACCTTACACAGGAAATCTTAACACAAGATCACATCCGACTTCTTCCAGAAGCAGTAAACGGGGAGAAATGAGTTTGTCTGAGTGCCCATCTGGACCTGAGAATGGACACAGAACGCTCCTTCACCCACACAGACATGCGTCTCAAAAGTGACCCCAGACCTACAGTCAAGAGGTCAAACCCTCACCTTCACCCGGGTTGGGACTTGAGTACAATGTTAGGTAAAAGTGGTGAGTGTGGACCCTGTGTCTTAAGGGGAAGCTTTGAGCTTTTCACCACGAGGTAAGATGTTAGCTGTGAGCTTTCAAGGTGCCCCCTGTGGGAATGGGGATCTTGTCTTCACGTTCCCAAGCTGAGGAGATTTTAAAATCACGAATGGGAGTTTGTTACCATCCGGTCCATGCTCTGCAATGACCACCACATCCATACGATGGTTGTTCAACCCTAAGCCGACCCAGGCCTCAGACACACTGCCCCCTGGGCAGCTGCAGCATCGCTGGATGGCCGCACCCAGGCCTGCGAGGACCAGCGGGGACCGGCCGGCCTCTGCCGCTGAAGGCCGACCCGGTGAGGGCCCAGGACCAGCGCGTCCTCAGGGGCGGACTGTGTCCCCGCCGCTGCCTGGGGAGGCCTCGGAGAGCCTCGCTCTGGGTGCCCAGAGGCTGCTGAGCCCACGAGGAGACGAACCCCCAGCAAATGGGCTGGGGCCACGTGGACACAGTGCCTGTGCGGTGTGGCCCCCTGCAGGCTCCTGGGGGCGGCCGCGCCCCTGCCTCTGGCCCCCACCCCCCGGCACCAGACTCACCTGCTGCAACAAGCTGCTGTTGGCATGGATGGTGAGGCTGGAGACCTGTGAGTGGTCCGGGGTTGGTGGCAAGAGTTGCATGAACTTCACGCTGGTGGGGACGCATGGGAGAGAGAAAGCACACGTGTCAGCAAATGGAGATTCTTGGGGGCTCAGAAAGCTTCACTTTCGTGGTTTTCCATCTTCCTGAGGACCTCAGAGCTTGGGATGGGTTGTGTGTTCCCCCTGACCCAGAAAAGTCAGAAAAGGAGCAACCCTGCTGAGCCCCGGAGCATCCGACACGGAGAGAGAACGGGGCCTCCTGTTTTAAGCCCCTGTTATGTGGTAAGTCATTGCACTGAACCTAAAATTCACACAGGAGTGTCACGTTGAATTATCCACGTGTGATCGTCTGAGCCTTGGGGAACAGAGGACCCGGGAAGGTTAGTTGAGAGAGATCCGAACACGAGAGGACTTGGACTGCTGCGGCTGAGGGTAGGAGCAAAGCAGGAGGGACGTGAACCCGTCTCCCTGGCGTGCTCAGGGGGTCCTCCCACACGGGGCAGAGCAGAAACCAGGCTCATCTGGCCGGGTTTCCACCCCAAGGAAACCATGAGAAGACACGTGCTGGTGTGTCTTCGCGTGTGAGACCATAACCCTTGTTCATATTCTCATCCTACCCACTTAACATTTCAGAACAGAGGAGCAGCCCAGAAGAAACTCTCTTAGAAATGGCACGACCGCCACCACCAAGGACACTTCGTAAAGTCCTCTGTAGAGGTTTTGCTCTGAAACGTGCCCGCGGAGCTCCTGCACGCCGCATGGCTGTGTGCTGGGCGTGTTCCCTCCTTTGGCAGGCGTCACGAGGCTTAGAAACTTCCTCTGGTCTCTGTGAACTCGATCCCACTGGCTCTAACTGGCTGTAACTGGCTCTAAGAGGATCAGCCTCGGGAGTGGGGCTGGGAATGGCCATAAGCACTGCCAATTTGCTCAACTGGACCCAGAAACTACGTTACCCGGAAAACATTCCCTGCGACAAAAAGACTACCAGTAATTTATTCCCCACCTCATCTAGAGGATTTGTAACTTACTTGTATAACCTTTTACCCATCATTAACCCTTTATTAACTAGGGCCGTCTCCTCTTCCAGGAGGAGGAACACAGGCTGGATTGGAAATGAAAACAAATGTTCCCGTAAGGATGCACATGACGCCTGCCCAAGGGGGTGAGTGTGCCCGTAAAAGTCTTGTTATTTTCTTTTAACAAAAAGAACCTCACAATATGTGAGGTAAAACAAGAGGCTCCTAAGGAATAGTATATGATCATTCTTTTATAAAATAAATTATATATATATATATATGTATAAATGCACAGAAAAGGTACTAGAAAGAAAGATGTAAAAGATACAAATCAATGTCCCAGCAATAGTTATTAGTGGGCAGGGAACTCTGTGTGTTTTTGCTTTTATACTGGGAATTTGTATTTCCAAATTTTCTATAATAAATACACGTTGATGTGAAAAAAAAAATTTTAAGGGGAAAGTCTACCATCCTGGTTCCAGTTAAGTTTCCGTCTTTCTTACCAGAAAACGAAAAAATAGAAAATGTTGTTAGATTTTACTTAAAGGATCATGGTTAAATGATATTTTGAAGTGAAATTCAAAGTGATGTGGATTTAGATGCTAGTATTGACAATCAGATTTCTAAGGAAGAAAAACAGGAAGAAAAATTCTTGGGTTTTGAAAGAGAACAGCCCTTGCACGGTGAACTGCACTTCCTGGCCAGCTGTTAAACTAAGCAAGAACCTCAGGAACGCTCAGCCTTTGGGACACTGCCGAGTGCTGTCTTTCTCTAGGCTCCCCGCTCCTGCGGGTCTGTGGGCCCTCTCTGCCCCTCTGCATGCAGGACAGGGACGCAGTGACCCCAGGGCCACAGCCCTCCAGTGCCCCCTGGCTCCAGGGGAGACGACTCTGTGCCCCCACCTGGGGCAGCAACGCTGGGAGGAGTCTAGTCCCCCATGAGTGAAGGTGTATTCAGTGCAACGCCAACCCCAAATGCAGGTGACTTGGAACTGGACAAAATCACTTCAAAGTTTACATGGAAAAGCAGATGTGCAAGAATTGTCAAAAATTTTGAAAAATGAAAAAGGCTTGAGAGGAATTTGTCTACTAGGGAGTAAGGAGAGGTTGCAGTAGAAAGAGCTGATGGAGGCAGAAGCAGGTGGGTCCAGACACAGAGAGGGTACAGCGGGCCATCTATGTTACAAGGACCACTGACCTTGTTCCCTCTCTCACTGTATCCAAAAACCAAGATGGCATGAGGATCAAAGTGCAAAGAAAGCAAATAAAACTACAAGAATATTACACAAAGACTATTGGAGGAATGTTTGGAGAAGTCAGGAGCAAAGAAGGTTTTTAAAAAACAAAATAAAAATTTGACACATTATGCTTCAGAAAAATTTGTGACCTCTACATTGCAAAAGACACAATAAAGAAACCTTTTTAAATGACAGATTGGATGGAATATATTTGAGACACACAGAACAAAGAATTAATCAGTATTTTCAATAGGCACAGAGCTCTTAAAATGGATAATATACAAATACCCCAGTATAAAAATGGGGGAAATACTTGAAAACCTCATGCAATGCACACAAGAGAGATTGTCGAATGGTCAAAACAGATGAAATGATGTGCATCCCACTGACATCAGGATGGATGCACATAGAAACAATGACTTGTTTCACTTGGACAAAACCAAATACACTGCTCTCGTGCTGCAGCGTCTGGGGGAGTTGGTGGAAGTGTGAGTCACTCCAGCTTTGGGGAAAGTAATCGTGAAGGCTTATGAAGCTTTAGCACAGGCAGCCCTCTGACTTTTGGACGTCCAACCGAAGTAAAGCCAGCTGCGCCTGACAACAGGGCTGCCTCGGCAGCTCAGCAGCGAAGGATCCACCTGCAACATGAGGGATGCGGGTTCAATCCCTGGACCAGGAAGATCCCCTGGAGGAGGCCGTGGCGACTCACTCCCAGATTCTCGCTTGGAGAATCCCATGGACAGAGAAGCCTGGCAGGCTACGGACCACAGGGTAGCAAAGAGTCAGACATGACGGAAGTGACTTAGCACTCGCATGCACCTGACAATACTGGCCCAGAGACACTCCTGGTAAACTGTCTGAACGAGACACACCGGCCAGAACCTCAGAGTCTGTCGGGGGATGGCTGACGAACTCATGGTCTGCCCGTGGAGGACGACGGCACTGCCAATGAGAAGCCGTCACGTCTGCGTGGAGGGTCAGAGCCGTCCAGGATGTACAGTTGGGGGTGTAAACTAGGGCACGGCAGACGGACAAGTGTGTGTCATCTGATCTTAATCCTGTCAGTTTCACATGTGGGTAGAAAGAGAGCTGACAGCTGCTTGGGTGTCACCCTTGAGCTTCTGTTGGGGGTGCCACTGTCTTTACACTGGTTCACGAGCCTATGTTACGATATAATAATGAAGCAGCAGTGAGGAACTAATCTCAACTGATTCTCACACTTTAAATGGGTAACTGGTCCGGCTTCCTGGCATGGAGTTGGTGGGTCTGGCAATACCACAGATGACCAAGCCAAAGGGGGTTGTTTTCAACACTTGAAATCTAAGGCATCTGCTCTGCTGGGTTTCAGACTGGCTTGGGACTGGTGACCTTTGCTTCCTACCGATTTCTTCCTTCTCGAATGGCTGTGTCTAGCCTATGACGGGTCCCTCAGTGTATTTTGGAAGCAAATAGCTTGTTTGGTTTCACAGGTTCACAGATGGAGAGGACTTTGGTCCAGGATGAATTCTGCCTGGAGTCTCAGCCATCACTGATCTGCATGACTGAGATGATGGGCTTTGGGACTTAGAGCTGATGGTTGAATTCAGGGAAGCTGTGATGCAATGAATTATTCTGTGTGACAGAAGACAGTGGGCTTTGGGGGGCCAGAGGGCAGACCGGTGTGGACCAAATTGTGTCCCTTCAAAAAAGAGCGGTTGACTATCGAACAACACAGGTTTGAACTGTGCTGGTTAACATATTTGTGTGTGTTTTTCAGTATACCGTTGGCCCTCTGGATTCACGGGTCTCATATCCAAGGGTCATCGAATCTTTGACTGAAAGGCCTATGTTTGGTTGAGCCCTTGGATCCAGAACGCATGGATATGGATGGCCAACTATGGGACTTTAGCATCCGTGGATTCTGTTAAATGCAAGGGCTCCTGGAGCCAATCTCCCACGAGAACCAAGGACGACTGCACGGAAGCCCCTAAGTGTAAGTGTTAACTGATCACCTGACTCAGAATGAGCTGGCCTGACTTTCAGGAGCTTCACAGAAACCAAATGTTATTAGGGACCGTACAGAAGACATTCAGACTCAACACTGCCCATGTTCTCCAGCTGGCATAGAAAATAGATGAGCGTTGTCTTACTTTCATGTATTTGTTCAGATGTTAGTTGTAAAGAAGGCTGAGAAGAATTATTGTACTTTTTGCAAGATAAGTAAAACTGAGATATGAATAATTGTTAGTAACATTAAGTGAACTATTTTATCTAACTTACCTCTGTACAGATGAACTCAGGTTGGCAACTGATTTCTGTGAGAATAAATAAAAATCAGTAACATTGCACAAGACGACATTGTTAATGTTGAGGCTATTTCTTCAGAAACTTCAAGTCTGTTGTTAGTGGACTTCACGTGATGCTGTTGCAGGGATGTCTGAGGGCAGGGGAAGGCTCTCACCGAGGAGACAGCTTCCTCCCTCCCCAACCACGCTGTGCACCCAGGGGTGGCTTCATTTCTCCTTAGTGAGCATGAATATAGTCAAGTTTTAAGAAAACTGCCAAACAGCTTTCCCAGGTGGTGTCACTTTAAGTCCTTGTTTTAATGTATTAGACACCCAATTCTTCTACAGATTCACCATCACGTGGTATTGCTAGCCTTTTAGTTTTAGCCATTCTGATTCACATGTGCATGAGTCTGTGTGTGCTCAGTGGGGTCTGCCTCTGTCACCCCATGGAATGTAGCCCACCAGGCTCCTCTGTTCATGGGATTCTCCAGGCAAGAGTACTGGAGTGGGTTGCCATGCCCTCCTCCAGGGGATATTCTTGACACAGGGATTGAACCTGCATCTCCTGCGTTGCAGGCAGATTCTTTACCACTGAGCCGCCAGGGAGGCCCTGACTCCTGTGCGGTGGTGTCTTCCTGTGGTTTTGATTTGCATTCCCCTCCTGTCTAATGGTGTTGACCATCTTTTCATGTGCTTATTTTTGCCACCCTTTTTTTTTTTTCTTTTTGGTGCAGAGTTTGTTCAAATCTTTTCCCATTTAAAAACCTGGATCATTTTTCTTATAATTGAGTTTTGAAAATTCCTTATATATTCTGGAAACAAGTAGATGGTTTGGAAATACTCCAGCCAAAAGTATTTTTATTTTTGAAACGGTGACTTCCAAAGAGTAAATATTTTTTATTTTATGAAGTCCATTTTTTTTCATATTTTTATTTAATAGTGCTTTTGGTGTCACATTAAAAAAAACTTTCCTAACTCAAGATCACAAGATTTTATTCTGTTTTCTTCCCAAAGTATTGTAGTTACCCTTGAAATTTAGCTCTAAGATTGATTTTGAGTTATTTTTGTATCTGCTGTGAAGTAGCACATTAGGTTCATTTTTTTCCTTGTGGGTAACTGACTGTTCCAGTACCATTATTGAAAATGCATTTCTCCCCATTGAATTGCCTTGGCATCTTGGTTTAAAATCCATTTATTTGGATTGTGTTTAATTTCTCTCAACAATAGTTTGTAGCTTTACATATACAGATTTTGTATTTGTTGTTTTATTATTTTTTGATGCTGCTGTGAATGGAATAGTTTTCTCAGTACTATTTTCAGATTTTTCAGTGCTAGTATGCAGGAATATAATTCAGTTTTTAATATTGATTTTGTATCCTACCACCTTGCTAAATTATCTTATTATTTCTATTAACTTTTCTGCAGGTTTGTTAGGATCACGTTACCTGCAAATAAATATAGTTTTACTTCCAGATATATATGCCTTTAACTTCTATTTCTTGCTTTACTGTACTGGCTGGAACTTTTTAGTAAAATGTCAGAAGTTTGGAATGCACATTTTTGTCTTGGTCCCAGTCTTAAGGGAAAAGCATTCAGTATGAATTAAGTATGAGTTAGTGCTAAGTTTCATCAGAGTTCCTTATCAGATTTAGGGGGTTCCGCCCCTAGGTTGTGAAATTGTTTTATCATATCTAGATGTGTTGTTAACAAATGCTTTTTCTGATTGGGTGCACTCACGTTTATTGTACTTTCTTGTATTAATATGTTTATTACATGAATACATTTTCAGATGTTAAGCCGACCTTGCATTTCTGGAATCCTCCTTCCTTAGGTCACAGTGTACGACCCTGTTCTGTGTGTGTGCCTGTGTCTGCTTAATGATATTTGCCTCTGTGTTCATGGGTGACATCGGCTTATAAGATTCTTTTTTGGTGAAAGGATCTGGCTTTAGTATTAGGTCCTCATATATATACAGAGGATGAAATGGTTGGATGGCATCACCAACTTGATGGACATGAGTTTGAGTAAGCTCCAGGAGTTGGTGATAGACAGGGAAGCCTGGCATGCTGCAGTCCATGGGGTCGCAGAGTTGGACACGATTGAGTGACTGAACTGAACTGATAATGTACTCACCTCGTAGGATGAACTGGGTGGTATTTCTTTCTCTTCCATTTTCTGAAAGTTTGTGCATGATTGATTTGGTTCTTTTTTCCCCTTAAAACATCAGGTATAATTCACCAATGAAGCCATTAGGGTCTAGGATTATCTTTGTGGAGAATTTAAAATGACTAGTTCACAGTTTTTACTTGTTATATGTCCATTTGAATTTTCTATTTCTTCTTGAATCGTTTAGTAATTTGTATCAATTAAGTAGAGTGGTAAATCCCTTTCTTAAATAATAAAGCATGTTTCAACCTTGGAACACTTACAATTAAGTACAGAAAAGTTTAAGAGACCCAAACCCATGACGTTACTATTTTTGCATTTACAAGTCATCGGCACATTGGTAATTTGGATTTCACTTTCCTGAATGCCAAAGATGATGTGTCCTCCTGTGCAGGAGAGACAAAGCTTTCAGCTCTTAGAATCTTAGAGATGGCCTTGTTCTCTCCTGTTTGCCACCAAATAAACGTATCAAAGCTGCATCCAGGAGACCCTTTGCTGAGATTTAACACAATGGTCAATGACAAGTGTCCGTCAGGGTGGTGGCTGCATGGTCAGGGCTGGCAGTGGGTGTCCAATGGGACTGTCCCAGGCACACTGGAACCTGGGGTCACCCTGGCTTCAATGACAGCAAAGCATAACCCCTGTTTGCCTGCTCCCACCTTGGAGTGGACGTCACATTTAGCGGTTGAGTCTGGCGTAGGGACGGGATTATAGGTTCCCATGAATGTGCTTCCAGACCTCAAGTGGAAGCTGCGGGCACAAGTGTAAACAAGGGAAACACTGCTGCAGCCGAAGGCGGGTACTGACCCCCTTTCTAGTTCTACATCATTACAAAGAGCCCCCTTGCTGAGGCCCTCCAGGGCTCGTGAGATGAACTTCCGCTGCAGAGAAAGTGAAGTCACCAGTCGCCTGCAGGAATCAGCACAGTCACAAACCTGCTGACATTAACCCACCAGAGACCCCGGAGCACCTGACCTCAGGGGGCTGAAGAGAGGCAGCCCCGCTGGCTCCATCCTGGGAGTGACGGAGATGATGGAGCATGCTCACACGTCACACCCTCACACCACACACACACATACACACAACACACAGAACACACACAGAACACACACACAGAGAACACACACACACACATCACACACATACCACTCACATCACACTCACACAGAGAATACACACACACATATCACACACAGAATACACACACATCACATCACACATATACCACTCACACATCACACTCACACACCACACTAACACATCACACTCACATACAAAACACACACATCACATCACACACACACCACTCACACATCACACTCACACACACAGAATATACACAGAGAGAACACACACATCACACACAGAATACATACATCGCACTCACACACACCCCCCACAGAAAACACACACGTCACACACACACACACCACTCACACTCACACATCACACTCAGTATATGTCCGCGGTTCAGCAGCATCTGTCCCTCACTTTCTCTTCTGTCACCACCTCCTTGCTCTCCCTGCTCCATGAGCGGCACTCCCCAGGTACCACATAAAGGCTTCAGCTCACACAACGATTCCAAACCCGGCTCTGCCCTCGTTCTTGGAGGGCCTGGGGCCCAGCCCTGGGCTCTGGCCTGAGGGGCGGCTCATGCCAGGGGCTGGGGGCTCACCTTCAGCGACGTCGGGGTGTCCTCTGGCTGTACGGTGGCGGTGGAACACAGACTCGAGTGCCGGGAAGGGGGCGGGAGCTCCTCGGGCGTCTCTCTGTGAAGACGGTGGGGGGGGAGTGCATGTAGTTAGCGGGGGCGGGAGCTCCTCGGGCGTCTCTCTGTGAGGACGGTGGCGGGGGTGGGGGTGGCTCCTCGGGCGTCTCTCTGTGAGGACGGTGGCGGGGGTGGGGGGGGCTCCTCGGGCGTCTCTCTGTGAGGACGGTGGCGGGGGGGGTCTCCTCGGGCGTCTCTCTGTGAGGACGGTGGCGGGGGTGGGGGGGGCTCCTCGGGCGTCTCTCTGTGAGGACGGTGGCGGGGGGGGGGGGGGCTCCTCGGGCGTCTCTCTGTGAGGACGGTGGCCGGGGGGGGGGCTCCTCGGGCGTCTCTCTGTGAGGACGGTGGCGGGGGTGGGGGGGGCTCCTCGGGCGTCTGTGAGGACGGTGCGGGGGGAGTGCGTGTAGTTAGCGGGGGCGGGAGCTCCTCGGGCGTCTCTCTGTGAGGACGGTGGCGGGGGTGGGGGGGCTCCTCGGGCGTCTCTCTGTGAGGACGGTGGCGGGGGTGGGGGGGGCTCCTCGGGCGTCTCTCTGTGAGGACGGTGGCGGGGGGGGGGGGCTCCTCGGGCGTCTGTGAGGACGGTGGCGGGGGTGGGGGGGGCTCCTCGGGCGTCTCTCTGTGAGGACGGTGGGGGGGGGGGTCTCCTCGGGCGTCTCTCTGTGAGGACGGTGGCGGGGGTGGGGGGGGGCTCCTCGGGCGTCTCTCTGTGAGGACGGTGCGGGGGGAGTGCGTGTAGTTAGCGGGGGCGGGAGCTCCTCGGGCGTCTCTCTGTGAGGACGGTGGCGGGGGGGGGGGCTCCTCGGGCGTCTCTCTGTGAGGACGGTGGCGGGGGGGGGGGCTCCTCGGGCGTCTGTGAGGACGGTGGCGGGGGGGGGCGCTCCTCGGGCGTCTCTCTGTGAGGACGGTGCGGGGGGAGTGCGTGTAGTTAGCGGGGGCGGGAGCTCCTCGGGCGTCTCTCTGAGAGGATTGGGGAGGGGGGCGGAGCGCGTGTAGTTAGCTGGGCGGCGGGGGGAGCCTGGCTGCGGTTGGGGTGCGGCACACGCCCCTCCTCCCCCGCAGGGCTCCGAGCGGCTGCCGGGAGGCCGCGTGGACGCCCTGAGTGGCCCGCATGGGGCTGCGCGTGCACGGGACCACGACTGCCAGCCCCAGGGGTGCCAGGAAAGGGGCTTCTCCCCGCAGAGCATCCCGGCCCCTGCACGTGCCAGTCTGAGCAGCAGTGGGGCAGGGCCTGCAGAAGCGCACAAGGGCCACGGCACAGCCCCTCCCTGCGGAGGCCCCGGGAGATGGACCCGGGACACTCGTCCTGGACACCCTCGGGGGGTGGCGTCATCACAGGAACAAGAGGGGGACTCGGCCTCCGCTACCGACCTGAAGGTGGGGCGTGAGGACAGGGCGGCCCGGTCAAAGCTCCAGACCCAGCATCCGCGGGGGGCGCGGCCCCGGGAGTCTTGACCGCTCATGCACAGCCCAACGTGCTGGCTGGCGTGTGAGCCGCCGGGACCGTGTCCTCTTGGTCACTTGGTCTGTGTAGCAATGGGAACGGGCACAGGCCACGCCTGCAAGATTAGACAGTGCACACCTGCCTGTGTGTGGTCATCCCCATGAACATTTTCATTCTGGCTGGTCAGTCCCAATAATCCAGTCCAGTTACAGTCCCACAGTAGCTAACAGTCCAAAAGGAACATGCCCAATAAACCGGTCTGATCACTGCTGCTAGAGACACACTCTGTAAAGTCCCACAAAGTGCTTCCACTGAACACCCGTGAGACACAGCAGTGCCCAGGGTTCGTGCATATTCCCAGGTCTCCAGAAGCCCAGATGCCTGACCTGCTCCAGCAGCATCCCCCCAGGCTGTGTCTACAACTCGCCGTTTGTTTCCAAGGCCAACCATTCAACATCACACTAATCCAAGTCTATGCCCCAACCACTGAAGCCAAAGAAGCTGAAGTTGACTGTTCTATGATGACCTACAAGACTTTCTAGAACTAACACCTAAAAAAAGACATCCTTTTCTTCATAAGGGATTGGAGTGCAAAGTAGGAAGTCAAGAGATACCTGCACTAACAGGCAAGTTTGGCTTTGGAGTACAGAATGAAGTAGGGCAAAGGCTAACAAGAGTTCTGTGAAGAGAACACACTGGTCATAGCAAACACCCTCTTCCAACAACACAAGAGATAACTCTAGATATGGACATCAGCAGATGATCAATACCGAAATTAGATCGACTATATTCTTTGCAGCTGAAGATGGAGAAGCTCTATATAGTCAGAAAAAACATGAGCTAGAGTTGACTCTGGCTCATATCATCAGCTCCTTTTGTAAAATTCAGATTTAAATTGAAGAAAGTAGGGAAAATCACTAGGCCATTCAGGTATGACCTAAATCAAATCTCTTATGATTAATACAGAGGTGATTAATAGACTCAAGGGATTAGATCTGATAAGCAGACTGCCTGAAGAACTATGGACAGCGGTTAATAACATTGTACAGGTGGCAGTGACCAAAACCATCCCAAAGAAAAAGAAATGCAAGAAGGCAAAGTGGCTGTCTGAGGAGACTTTACAAATAGCTGAGCAAAGAAGAGAAGCAAAAAGCAAGGGAGAAAGGGAAAGATATACCCAACTGAATGCAGAGTTCCAGAAAACAGCAAGGAGAGATAAGAAAGCTGCCTTCTATGAACAATGCAAAGAAACAGGGGAAAACAATAGAATGGGAAAGACTAGAGATCTCTTCAAGAAAATTGGAGCTATCAAGGGAATGAGAAGGACAGAAATGGTGCGGACCTAATAGAGGCAGAAGAGATTAAGAAGTGGCAAGGATACACGGAACTATGTACAAAATGTCCTCACGACCCGGATGACCACGATGGTGTGGCCACTCACCTAGAGCCAGACACCAGGGAGTGTGAAAGGAAGTGGCCCTCAGGAAGCATCACTGTGAACAAAGCTCGTGCAGGTGATGGAATTCCAGCTGAACTATTTAAAATCCTAAAAGATGGTGCTGTTAAAGTCAGCATGTCAATACGTCAGCAAATTTGGAAAACTCAGCAAGGGCCACAGGACTCAAAAAGGTCAGTTTTCATTCCAGTCCTAAAGAAGGGCAATGTCAAAGAATGTTCAAACTATAGGACAATTGTACTCATTTCACATATTAGTAAGGTTATGCTCAAAATCCTGCAAGCTAGGCTTCAGCTGTACGTGAACTGAGAACTTCCAGATGTATGAGTTGGATTTAGAAAAGGCAGAGGAACTAGAGATCAAATTGCCAACATTCGTTGGATCATAGAGAAAGCAGGGGAATTCCAGAAAAACATCTACTTCTGCTCCACTGACCACGCTAAAGCCTTTGTGAGGATCACGACCAGCCTTGGAACAGTCTTCGGGAGATGGGGAATCCCGGACCACCTTGCCTGTCCCCTGAGAAGCCTGTGTCAGCGCCAAGAAGCAGCAGCTGGAGCTGGGCACGGAACAGCTGAGCAGCTCCACATCGGGAAGGAGAGCGTCGAGGCTGGGTACCCTCGCTGTGTGCCTTATACGCCATATGCAAGCAGTACCGCTCCAATGGCAGAAAGAAGAGCAACTAAAGGACCTTTTGATGAGGGTGAAAGGGGACAGTGAAAAGGATGGCTTAGCTCAAAAACTAAGATCATGGCATCAGGTTCCATCACTGCATGGCAAATAGAAGGGGAAAAGTAGACAGGGTGACAGACTTTATTTTATGGGCTCCAAAATCACTATGGACAGTGACTGAAGCCATGAAATTAAAAGACGCTTGCTCCTGGGAAGGAAAGCTACGACAAACCTAGACAGCATATTAAAAAGCAAAGACATCACTTTGCTGACAAAGGTTTGTATAGTCAAAGCTCTGGTTTTCCCAGTAGTCATGTATGGTTGTGAGAGTTGGATCATATAGATGGCTGAGTGCTGAAAAAATGATGCTTTTGAATTGTAGTATTGGAGAAGACTCTTGAGAGTCCCTTGGGCTGCAAGGAGATCAAACCAGTCAATCCTTAAGGAAATCAATCCTGAATATTCATTGGAAGGAGTGATGCTAAAGTTGAAGCTCCAATCCTTTGGCCACCTGATGAGAACTGACTCACTGGAAAAGACCCTGATGCTGGGAAATAGTGAAGGCAAAAGGAGAAGGGGGCAACAGGGGATGAGGTGGTTAGACAGCATCACCGGCTCAGTGCACGAGTTTGAGCAGACTCCAGGAGACAGTGCAGGACAGAGCAGCCTGGCATGCTGCAGTCCATGGGTTTGCAGAGTCAGACTCAACTTAGTGAGGGAACAACAAAAAATGAAATCCAGTCCTGAAAACAGTCCAGTGTCCTGTAGGACACATAGCAGACGGACAGACCAGCATCGAGAAGCAGACAGATCAGCTTCCAGGGAAATTTGGGGTATCAGGAAGGTGCCTTTCGATTTGATGAGGTAAATTGGACCATTTAGTTAATGAGACAACAACCACCAGTTACGCTGTAATAAGACAACTGTGGCTCCTATTTCACTAAATAAATTAATTGAAGATGATTTAAAAACCAAAATATGAAGCAAATACAAATAATGAAAGTATTAGCAAGGAGTATGGAGGATACTGTGAAAAAAAGAGCAATTTTTTTTTAAGCAAGGCAGTTGAGAAGAATGTAGCTGTTTCAGACATACAAAACAGCTCTAAGGAAATGGCAACTTACCTCTGCTCGGAGGGTCCCAGGGGGCTCTGCAGAGGCTGTGGGGGGAAAGCAGTCACACGATGACGACCCTGAGCTTATTAACACAGCTGCATCATCTGCAGCTCACTTGGAGCAGGGCTGCCTTGGGGTCTTGGGGTCCCGGATGAGGGTCTCACAGGGGAGCCCCTTGCCTGTGCCCTTGCTCATCTGTGTGTCTCTGCTTCTCATTAGTAAGAGACAGGAAGTAGAAGGCTGGGTCACGTGAGATGTACTTATTTTACTTTTTAAGAAAATGCCAACTCTTTGCAAAGTGCTGTAGCTTCACACCCCACCAGCCACGTGCGAGCCTGCTGTGCAGCTGTGCCAGCCCTGGGGCTTGGCCTTTTTGATCACGGCCACTCTGGGGACCGAGTGGCGGTGTCTCATCGTGGTTTTAGCTTGTGTTTCCTTAAGGGGGAATGATGCTGATGTTGACCATCTGGGTTTGTCTGCCACCCATGGGATCCCTTTTGGTGAAGTGTGTGCAGATATTTGCCCATTTTAAAAACCTGATCAGTGTTCTTGTAACTGAATTTTGAAAGTTCTATATATATTCTGGGTACATATATATGATTTGCAAATGATTGTTTCTCTCTGTGGCTTATATTTTCTGAATGGTGACCTTTAAAGACTAAACGTTAACTCCGATGAGGAGCTGCAAAAATGGGTGGGTCAGAAAGGTGTCAGCCCTGCTGGCTTGATCTTGTGGAGAGTCAATTCAGAAATGATACAACACCCACACCCACAGGACTCACCAAAGAGCCACATACACAGAACCCCACACGTGCACTGCATCACATACACCCCCCCCCAAACACTCACATATACGTGCCACACCCCACCCCTGCCACACCAACACAGAGGTCCCGGCCTCCAGGTGACCTTGGGCCCCCTACCCAGTCCTGGACGGATAGATGGAGGAGCAGGGATGCCGGTACCTGTGACAGGTCTTCTATTTGTAAACGCACATCTCTCTGCCCTGTCTGGTGTTTCGAGTCCTGCTGTTGGCTGCCCTGCATCATGTAATCAAACGTGCTCAACCTTTTGGCCACTGGAAAGGAGAAAGCAGGCAAGAGACAGTCACCAGCCACCCGTCCACGGCCCGCAGTGCTGGGAGCTGGCTCATGACCTGGAGTCTGGGCAGCAGCCAAAAGGCCACCCCAAGCCTGGCTGACCTTTGGGCCAAAGCCGGCAGGTGCCCGCACCCGTGGAGCCCACCAGCCCCCGTCCCGGGGGCCTCACAGACCCATAAAGTCAGTGTGGATGCGGCAAGTGTGGAGCTCAGCTCTGTCTTAAGGTGAGACAGTGGCCAGCACGTGGCAGACAGACTCAGGTTATTAAAGAGTCTAACATGTTTCTCAACAGAAGATCACTACTAATGAAAGGAGACACGATCCAGTCCTGTGTCTCCGCCCTGGTGGTGCGGGGTGGGGGCTAACTTTCCATTTCTTTCCCCAAAAACTGACAAACATGGGAACAGATGGTTTGTAATTATTTCTGGAAAGAGAAAAGGCCACCCACAGAAGCCTATTTGCAGCTTGAGGAGCAGACGGAAGACCGCCGCCCCCACAGCCCCGGTGGGGGGGGGCTGCTCCCAAGGGGGGCCCTGGCTCAGCCCCTCCCCCACCTCGCCCCCTCCTCCCGGGGGCTCCTACAAGGGCTGTTTCTTCTCGAGCCTTGAATTCTTTCTCCGTTAACTGCACACACTCCCTCAGAGGCTGTGGCAGTCTGAGGACGCAAACTGGACCTTGTTGACATTCTAGTGAAGACATCCAATCTTCTGCCCAGGTCTGCACAAAGGCCCCCAGACGCGGGTGCCGGCAGGCTCTGCCCGTCTCTGGAGCCCGCCTGGTGTGACACGGACGTGGCCAGAGCACACAGACGAGGAGACGCAGGACGGGCCTGTGTCCCCGGTCAGACCCTCAGCCTCCATGCGGCTGCCCGGCGCCTCCTCGCGCCTCCGCCTGAGGCGACCTCCCCCGCCGGCTCGATGAGGACTCATAGCCGGGCCAGGCGGCCACATCTGTGAGCTGGCCCGGTGGCTCCGCCTCGGGCCCCCTGTCTGCGGGGCCCCGTCCTGGCCACCTCCCCGGCCCCCACCACCAGGAGCTGCAGACGCAATTGGCAAGTTCAGTGTTCTTCATCGTCAGGGGTTCTGGCAGGTGCTTCTCTAAATGCCCTGTTCCTGCCTCACAGACTCCATCCTCTCATCTCTCTCAACACTGTCACCACCCACTTTCTAACCCCTCTGTGTTTCTGCGGGTCTCAGACTAGGACTCAGCCCTCTGCCCTTTGGGGTGTTCCTTTCTACCCTGAGCTCACTGCTGGAGGAGGCGGCCTGCTGGGGACCTGTGTGAGCACAGGGGTGAAGGCCAGCCAACCTGGGGAGCACGTGCTCAGGTAGAGGAGGAGCCTGGGGAGCACGTGCTCAGGTAGAGGAGGAGCCTGGGGAGCACGTGCTCAGGTAGAGGAGGAGCCTGGGGAGCACGTGCTCAGGTAGAGGAGGAGCCTGGGGAGCACGTGCTCAGGTAGAGGAGGAGCCTGGGGAGCACGTGCTCAGGTAGAGGGGAGCCTGGGGAGCACTGCTCAGGTAGAGGAGGAGCCTGGGGAGCACGTGCTCAGGTAGAGGGGAGCCTGGGGAGCACGTGCTCAGGTAGAGGAGGAGCCTGGGGAGCACGTGCTCAGGTAGAGGAGGAGCCTGGGGAGCACGTGCTCAGGTAGAGGAGGAGCCTGGGGAGCACGTGCTCAGGTAGAGGGGAGCCTGGGGAGCACGTGCTCAGGTAGAGGAGGAGCCTGGGGAGCACGTGCTCAGGTAGAGGAGGAGCCTGGGGAGCACGTGCTCAGGTAGAGGGGAGCCTGGGGAGCACGTGCTCAGGTAGAGGAGGAGCCTGGGGAGCACGTGCTCAGGTAGAGGGGAGCCTGGGGAGCACGTGCTCAGGTAGAGGAGGAGCCTGGGGAGCACGTGCTCAGGTAGAGGAGGAGCCTGGGGAGCACGTGCTCAGGTAGAGGAGGAGCCTGGGGAGCACGTGCTCAGGTAGAGGAGGAGCCTGGGGAGCACGTGCTCAGGTAGAGGAGGAGCCTGGGGAGCACGTGCTCAGGTAGAGGAGGAGCCTGGGGAGCACGTGCTCAGGTAGAGGGGAGCCTGGGGAGCACGTACTCAGGTAGAGGTGGAAGAAGAGCAGGTGGCCGAGCAGCAGCAGGCTGATGAGCGCCAGCAGCAGCACCAGCAGCCCGAGCGCCAGCAGGACGCCTCTGTTGGTCCTCACGGGGGAGATCGGGAGCAACAGCAGCCACGTGTCCTTGTTGGAGATACCTGTGGAGGCGGAGCCTCATCAGGTGCATCCTGGGGTCAGCGCTTGGCAGTGGGGGAGGGGCCACCAGCTAAAGAGAGCCCCCCCCTGCCCAGGCGGGCCCCTCCCTGCACAGATGAGCCCCTCCTCATTGCCCTGCCTAACCTAAGTGCCCTTGCAGCCCCTCCTCTTTGCAGTGGGCATTGATTCCCTTTATGGATCTGGAAGGTGAGGCTCGGAGAGGGTAACTAAGTGCCCAGGTCACAGAGCCTGACCCTGGCGTCCACTGTGCTGGCCTCCCCACTGTCCCTAGAGCTGAAAGGCCACAGCCACCACCTTGGGGCATTTCCAGGACACAGTCCTCTGTGACAAGGGGACAGGGCACCCCAACCACAGTTTCCAACAACCAACTGAGGAAAAGCAGGGAGGGGTTGTGTGCGGGCCAGTGAAGGCCAAGTTTCAGCTGAAATGTCTTCGCCCCACAACTAGGTCTGGACAGGTGCTTGGGCCCAGATTGCCCCGTGTGGCACCCTGGGTGGGCGGTGGGCGGGCAGCCAGCCTGGGGGGCAGGGGGGGGTGCGCACTCTGGTAGCGTGAGTCGGTGCGCAGGGCGGAGGGGTTGAAGAAGTACTGCAAGAAGATGTACAGAAGGATGACGATGATGCAGAGCAGACCGGCCAAAGCAGAGGCCACCGAGCTGAAGAAGCACCTGCGGGCAGAGCTGGCTGAGTGCCTGGCGGCCTGACGGCCCAGGAGGGGGACCGCCAACTCCGGTGCGTCCCTGCCGAGCCTCAGGACCCCCACCAAACCCCCTGGGCCCCAGAACCCTTGTCAAGAGCCTGTGACCAGAATAATATCCCTTCCTCCAAAACAATAAACCCTAGGCAGCAACTCTCAGGGTGTGGTTTCACTGAAGTGTCTTCCTTCAGTCTTCCTGATGTTACACCTTTAACGTTTTCAATGTTAAACAGGATCTGATTGTTTAACAGGGTCTAGTTGATTCCCCACTTTTCCTGAAGGTCCCTTACACCTGCCCCCAGGCCTCTGACCCCGTTCCCCGGTGGCCCCGTCCTGCTGACCCTGCCTGTGGACGTGGGGACTCCCGGGCCCACCTGCCCCCCGGAGCCCCACTCGGCCCGCTCTGCGTCAGGACCTGCAGCGCCCGTGAGCTTGGCCCCCTCGGCCCTCCTCCAGGCGTGCGGGCAGGGAGCAGGCACCCTAAGGGGTGTGCCCCAGAGGAGGGGCACTGAGCAGGCTGAGGAGGCAGGCCCTGCCCTGGTGCTGCCCTCCACCAAGGCCCCTCTGCCATTGGGGGGGGCGGGGGGGGAGGGACCCTCACCAGTAATTTCTGCTTCCCACGCAGTTGTTCAGCCATTTGCAGTGATGGTCAAAGCCTGAGACACACTTGTTGCAGGCGCTGCAATGCTTGGCTTTGGCACTCCTGCGGGGGAGGGTGGACGGGGCAGCCTGTCAGTAGGCTGTGCGGTGGGGGGCCGGGCAGAGCCCGTCGGCTCAGAGGGTCCGCCCGACGCAGAGGGCGCCTTCCCCGGGCCTGCTTCCGGTCGCTCCCGCCCGCCCACGGACGCCCCCGGGGCCCTGAGCAGGCGGGGGGGGGGGGGGGGGGGGGGGGGGGTCAGTGGCTGCTCGGCCCAGGAGGGGGCGGGGGGCTGTGCCCGGGACCCCGCCTCTCTCAGAGGGGGCTGGGCCAGGCACCTGCCGGGGAGTTAGGCCTGCTCGCCCCCCTCCACCTCCCCCACCCCCGCGCCCGGGACACAGCCCGGCGCCCCTGCCATGGTCGCCCGCCCCGAACACGCACACGGTGACCTCGCAGAGATGGCAGTATTGGTTCTGGATGACGTGCGGGTGTTTGGACCGGTCGAAGGTCGGCATAGGCTGAGAGTAGTTCTTCAAGCGGACGCTGGCTTCGGCCGGGTCGATGGAAATGGCGACCAGGTGGGCTAAGAAGTGGAAGAAGAATATCCCGCCGGTCACCTGCAGGGGGCGTCAAGGAGCAACTCGGCCCAGGCAGCTGCGGGGCCCGTCCCGGAGGCGGGTGGTCGGGCTCTCAGTCACCCGGGGCGCCGTCCTGGAGGCGGGTGGTCGGGCCCTCAGCCGCTGGGGGGTCCATGCGTGGCTGGCGGCAGGGAGCAGGCCTGCCCCTCTGGCAGCCGCATGCCCTGCCGACCCCCGAGCCCTTTGTCCTGCAAGGACAGAGCAGGATAAGCTGTGGCCCTGAGATCCCCGCCGAGCCTCCTGGAGGAGCAGGCCAGGCCTGTGCGTGCCCGTGGCACCAAGCTGGTACTGGAAGGGGTGGTGGGGGTCCTTGGGGCAGCAGGGCCATGCTGAGCGTGAGTCCTCAGGAAAACGAGGAGGGTGGGAGGGTTCAAACACCTGCCAGTGAGCCTCTGTGGCCAGTGGGCCCACGACTGTCGTCTGTGTCTGTCTGTCCCTGTTTCTCTGTATCTGTCTCTGTCTCTCTGTCTGTCTGTCTGTCTGTCTCTCTGTCCCCCCCAGCCCTCTCGGCATCCCCCGCCGGGAGCTCCCAGGGTGACCTCACGCGCTCAGATCCACCCTCTGCACGATCTCTCCAGGGACCAACACACTGTCCCCATGGAAACCAAACAGGAGGAAGCACAACTCTGGCTCCCCTCAGCCCTGCCCTGCTTCCCAGGACAGTCCTGCGGGGAGGGTTGGGGTGCACAGGCCCGCTCAGCAAGGGCCGCCTGGGCGTGGCGGGCAGGGCCTCTGGCCCACTCCCTGCCCGCCAGCAGGGTCTACGGGGCACTGCCATGTGTGGGCTCTGGGCAGGGCCAGCCTCCCGGGCCCTCCCCACTCAGCACTGCCGTTGGATGCAGGCTCCCACGGCCCCTGCAGCGCTCGGCTCGTCAGGGACCCTGGGCTCTGGGCGCCCGTTTACGGCCTGCATGGGCCTCTTCGGACCCACCACCCGCAGGGCGCGGCCGGCCTCAGCGGGGGGCCGCTTTGCCCGAAGCTGCTCTGCCCCCCGTCCTCCAGCCTCCAGTGCAGACCCCAGGCTCTGGGTGCCAGGCATGGGGTGAGGGAAGCCCGGGCCAGCTGGGGGCACGGGGACCACCATGAGGGCTATAGTGAGCTGGGCCAGAGGGCAGGGCTGACCGGAGGGCTGGTGCCCGGGTCAGGGTTGGTGCCCGGGTCCAGGGTTGGTGCCTGAGTCAGAGCTGGTGCCTGGGTCAGGGATGGCCGGGCACATGGCCTGGAGGACATGGGAAGCGGGGCTGACCGAGGACCAGCCGGGCCAGGGACCCCCACGGGGGCGGGCCTGCCGGATCCCTTGGAGCCACTGGGGCCCTTCCCGCAGCGCAGCCGGAGGGCCCTGCAGGGCTGGGTGGGGGGTGAGGACCGCCTCCACCCGTGCTGACCAGCAGACGGAGCCCTGCCCTGCGCAGGGTGAGGGGCGGTGGGCGGGGCTCCGTGGCCAGCCTGCGGTGTCACAGCTGGTGGCACCACACGGTCTGTGCCCACTGACCCCCAGCACCCACTTCCGGAGCACAGCGGGCCGCTCTGTGTGGTTCCCGGGGCAACCGGAGCGCATCCGGAGCGCAGACAGGAGCGGCCGGCGGGGCGGCCGGGGGCAGGAAGTGGCTCGCTGCCCAGGTGAGGCCCTGCTCTGCTGGCCACAGTGGGCTTGACCCCACCGGGCACCTTCGGGCAGGGCCGGGACTGTGGGCAGGACGGCAGGCGGGTGGCCCACGTGCTCTCTCCCCATGAGACCACTGCCAGGCAGGGAGTGTTGCATGGCGCCCATACTCAGACCCTTGGCCTTACGTGGAGACGCCTGACCCATGGCCAACAGGCAGCTCCGTGGACTCCCAAAACTGCAGGTGCCGGGGACCCCAGGACAGCGTGCTGCCTGGATGCAATGGGCCACGCTGCCAGGGCCCCTCAGACACTGAGAGTCCACAGCAGGCACACACCTGGGCCCGTCTGCGGGGGGCAGGCAGGGTCAGCCATGCTTGCCCAAGATGGCCTGGCCGCTCCCATTGGTTACACACAGGGTGAGTGGCACTGAGCCCCAGAACAGACGGGTGCAGGCGGTGGCACACCCTCCAGCTGCTGGCTTTCACTTTCAGATGTAATTTTATCTCCGGAGAGTCTTAGGTTCAGGTTAATAATACAGAGAGCCCGGCCTGGCATCTCACTCCCAGCAAACAGGACCGGAGCTCCAGGACGCGGACGCGGCTCCCCTGGCAACTATCTGCGGTCAGTAAACAAACAGCCTGGGCGCAGCCCAGACACCCGCCCTGGGCCCCCGGCTGCTGCGCTGGTCCTGGGCTGGGGGCGGAGCCAACACTGGAGCCACCCCCTCACGGCCTGGGTCCCTGAGGACCTCCGCCCCTCCTGCCCCTCCCGCACTCGCAGGGCGGCCAGGGTCCAACTTGCTGACCACCCCCCCATCTCCACGGGGCCTGTGGGGTGCTGCCCGACTTCCGGAAGCTCCACGGCCCTGACCCCGGGCCTGGGACCTCCGTAGGCTCTGCTCCTGGGTCCCTGCAGGTGCCAAGGGGCACTGGCGCCCCCCCGTGGCCAGAGCGAGGCACTCAAGTGCCCTTCAGGGACTTCACTGCCACAGGGCAGGTCTGGGCAGCAGGAGACTTGACCAGAAAACACGTCCTGCGGGCAGTCTGAGCTCTGGACAGCCAGGAAGGCCACCCTGCATCCTCAGCCTGGGACAGGCAGGAGGGGCTCACAGAGACAGGGTGCTGAGCCACCCAGGGGTGGGGGCCACGGGGGCGGGGGAGAAAGGACGGCCTACCTGGGGCTCCGTGCCAGCACAAGGCAGGTGAGCACTCACGGGGGCTGCTGAACAGGGCACATGTGTCCCTTGCAAAGACTCCCTGGGCCAATGCTCAGCTAAGTTTTGGGTCAAAAGAGAACAAAGAGACTGGATTATCGCCCAGCACAAAGCTATGACAAACCTGGACAGCTTATTAAAAAGCAGAGATGACATTCTGCTGACAAAGGTCCGTCTAGTCAAAGCTATGGTTTTTCCAGTGGTCATGTATGGATGTGAGAGTTGGACTATAAAGAAAGCTGAGTGTCAAAGAATTGATGCTTTCAAAATGGTGTTGCAGAAGACTCTTGAGAGCCCCTTGGACTACAAGGAGATCAAACCAGTCCATCCTAAAGGAAATCAGTCCTGAATATTCATTGGAAGGACTGATGTTGAAGCTGAAGCTCCGATACTTTGGCCACCTGATGCAAAGAACTGACTCACTGGAAAAGACCCTGATGCTGGGAAAAGTTGAAGGCAGGAGGAGAAAGGGACGTCAGAGGATGAGATGGTTAGATGGCATCAGTGACTCAATGGACATAAGTCTGAACAAGCTCTGGAGACAGTGAAGGACAGGGAAGCCTGTGTGTGCAGTCCATGGGGTCACAATGAGTTGGACACGACTGAGCGACTGAACACAGGTGAGGTGGAGCTGTGTCCCTGAGAGTCTCTCAAGTCCCAACCCCAGGAACTGTCATGATTTTACCTGTGAGTGGGGTCTTTGCAGATGACCAAGTTAGGCTGAGGTCCTTGTGATGTGTCCTGACTTCACGGGACTGGTGTCCTTACAAGAAAAGAAGCCCAGGACTCAACACGCGAGACCCTGTGAGGACACGGAGGTGGCTGGATCTGAAGCCAGCAGACGGCTGAGGCCCGTAGAGCTGGGATGGGTCCCGGAAGCTTTGCAGGGGCACAGCCCCCCAAACATCTCACGCCTCTCACTTCCGTCCTGTTCATCTGTGCCTCAGCGTGTGTAACACTGTGGGTGTCCATATGTGTGGCCAGCGGGTCACTTGTGCATTATATGTATACTTGTGTATGTGTGTGTGTTTGTGGGTCTGTGTGCACTCATACCTAGAGGTAAACTTACAGCTTCAGATATGATGAAAAGAAAAAAAGGTCTAAAACCAATGACCAAAATTTCCACATTAAGAAGGTAGAAAAAGAGCAATTAAAGCTGGCACATTGAAAGGAAATAGCAACAATAAAAGCAGAAATTCAGAAAAAGTAGACAGGGAAAATCAGTAAGTCCAAAAGCAAATCCTCCGAATAACCAACAAAAGTGATAAACCCTAGGAAGATGGATCACTGGTGACATCACTACAGATCCTACAGACACTGTCTGGATAACAGGAAATAGTGCAAATAGCTTTATTCCAAGAAATGTGACAATCCAGACGACATACTCAAATTTCCTAAAAAGCACTTTTTGCCAAAACAGACAAGAGGAAACAGAGGAAGCTGAAAAGCCCTTTTTCTACTGAGGAAATTGATCACGGCAAATCTTACCACAAAGAAGTCTCTGCTAACTCAGGGGTAGGGATAGACAGGCCTCATCTGAGGGAGAGACACCCACACAGATGCCCTGGTTTCTCTGGCTGATGGAGGCTGGGCGGGGGTGGGGGGTGACTTTGGGGCTCAGTGCTGCCCCACATCTGCAAAAGGACTTTAGAAATCAGCAAATGCCAACCTTGGTATTGGGGAACACGTGGTAACTTCCCAGGGACTTTTAAGGTGAGAAAACAGAATGGTGTGGAAACAGACATCTTTGTTAGATGCAGAGTGGGCATTCCAGGGACACTTCATCATGTGGGGGGGCTTTAAAGACACTCAGCATGTGTGAGACATGATGCAAGCAGTCTTAATCAGCACCTGGTATTTGGGGTCCATCACTTTGCCCTCCCTGCTTTTTCAAAGCTGAAAGATGCTGAGCTCAGGGCTCAGGTGGCTTCGCGAGCCCGTGAGGGCCCTTCCTGCCCTGCCACCTCCCACCCAGCTGCCCACCACCTTGGCCACCTGGCCACCGACGCCTGGCGGGCAGGCAGAGTAGCCCGTTTCCTCACTGCAGAGTGAAGGCGCAGGCGCAAACACCCCACTTCACAGCAGCCCGGCCTGTCCATGGGGCTTCCCAGGTGGCGCTAGTGGTAAAGAACCCACCTGCCAATGCAGGGGACCTAAGAGACGTGGGTTGGGAAGATCCCTTAGAGAAGGAAATGGCAACCCACTCCGGTGTTCTCACCTGGAGAATCCCATGGACAGAGGAGCCTGCTGGGCTACAGTCCATGGGATTGCAGAGTTGGACACGACTGAAGTGACTAACACACAGCCTGTCCACTGGCTCTAATGTGCAGTGACCCCTGGGGTGGGGGCCAGGGTTCCTGGCAGAGCCCCACACCACCCTGACGCCCACCCAAGGGATCAGATGTCTTGTGCCCAGAACAAGGACACTCCGGGGGTCACAGACATCAGCGCCTCAGTGGGAAGGCATGGTGAGGGGGGCTCCATGCACCTGACACTGAGGGGGGCATGCGAGCACCTCAAGTCCTTCCTCATTAAAACACACCATTCCTGGGGTTCCCCTGGTGGTCCAGTGGGTAAGACTCTGCACTCCCAATGCAAGGGGCCCAGGTTCATGCCCCGGTCAGGGAAGTAGATCCCACATGTCACAACTAAAGATCCTGAGAGCCACAACTAAGACCCAATGAAGAAAGTGAATACTAGCACACACACACATGCACACACACACACACACACAGACAACACACACACACACACGCATGCTGTTCCTCTCAGACAGCACAGACTGGCTGTGTAGCCAGGGTCAGGGCAGCCTGCAGCCTGTCTGCAGCTCCTCCCCTCCTGGAGGCTCTGCCCATCCAGGACCCTCTCGCCCCTGCCGCCAGCCGGGCGCCCTCCCCCTTCGCAGCACAGGTGGGCACTGGCAGCTGGGACCCCAATCCAACAGCCACTGGCGGGCAGCTGTGGGGTTTCTGGTGCGGACGGTGGGGGTGAACCATGGCTGAACCATGGGAGCCAGAGCGCAGGCAGGTCTGACCACCCCTGCGGGTGGAGCTAGGCCCGCTGGAGGCCCCTCGGGAAGCCCCTCCCAGCTTAGGCCACAGTGCTGCCCCTCCCCGCCCCAGAAAAGGATACACTGTAGGCGATGTATCTACAGTCTTGTGGCAGAAGGGGGATGAAGACCCCGAAGGTCGTGAAGGCCAGAATCAGGAGCACGGCCCAGGCCATGATCTGGAAGGGGTGCAATGGCCGCGACCAGCCGTTCACCCTGGACAGGCGGGGCGGCGACACCTTCGTGCTCCTACTGGGCGCAGCTTCCGGGAGGACCCGCCTCGACCTCCTGGCGCAGAAGGCCATCTGCAGGACAGCAGGGGGCACAGGGGGCTGTGGGCGCCTGTCCACAGCTCAACAAGCAGCTTCAGTGTGTGTGTGGTCCCCGGGCACCCCCACCTCTGCCGGGACCCCAGGGCGGGCAGTTACCAGTCCTTCATGACTGGCGGGCCACTTACAGTGATGGTCTGCTAGTCACTTTACAAATGCACGCACCTCAGAAAATCAGAAAATCCACGGATGTGGGGGACCCACATGAAGAAGAGGTCCACATTCCCGGGAAAGCCCAGAGCAGAAGCAAAAGGCAGCTGGAGCCAGGGCAGTCAGACGCTTTCTCCCACCAGAAACCCTGCCTGTTTCCCCAGGGCAGGAGGGCCTCACGGCCAGGGTCCTGGCCCAGGGGTGGGAGGGAACCGGGCCGTCTGGTGGGCAGGCCCACCAGGAATGGTAGGGATGTGTCCTGGGAAGGCCGTGGGGTGTTTGCGGCTGTCGGAGGGCAACACTGTTAACAGCTGCTACAGGTGGAACTTGGGGGAGTTTAGAAGACCCTGTGCACAGCCTCCAGGGTCTCTTCAGAAAGAAACACACAGCAAGTGTAGCTGACAGGAGTTGGCTACTTTAGGGAGAGACAGAAACATTGAAAACTATTCGACTCTTGTGTGAGCTGGGACTCCCCGGGGAGGCTGTCTGAAGGGCAGAGCTCAGCTGCTGCCTCTGCGGGCCGTCCACCCAGGTCCTCGGATGAGACGCCATGCAGACAGAGGCCACAGCGGCCCCGAGTTTGCAGGGCTCCAGTGAATTGAACAGCACACTTATACAACAGGACTGAGGTACCTGGGAATTAGAACCCTGAGGGACAGGCATGGAGCTGAAACATGATTCCCAGATAAAAACATGGGATGGAAGGGCTGACATCTCACACCACACAGCAGGCACGCGGAAGGTCGTATCAAGGATTCCTGCAGGTCTTGGAACAGAGGTGTGGGGAAGCAATGGTTATGAGACTAAACTTCACAGACCACAAAGCTGGAGACACAACAGGATGTTGGTCTGTTAGGGTTTCCAGGCAAGGAAAAGGAAGAGGGTGTAAGAGAAGAAACAAAGAAAAAAGGGAAGCGTGTGTGTATTGCAAGGAGACTGAAAACTTCAGCTCTAAATCACATTCCAAGAACAGCAGGGAAAAGAGAAATAACCTACAGTGGTGAAGATGGGAGCTCCGAGGACAGAGTCCTCAGTGTCCTGGAAGAAAACAATGGCATCACCTACGACGCAATGTAACTGGCACTTATCAGGTTCAAGTGCTGAGTCTCCTGTCCTGAGATGAGCAGCCAGGCTGTCACGCAGGCGGGACAGAAGGAGAGGCCTCGGGGCATGCAGGGGCACCTGCTCACTTTTTCAGATCTGAGATGCACCCTGAAACACCAGGCACTTCATATCCAGGCTTGGGGGGGAGGCAGTGTGTCTGCGTGAAAGCCGGAGCCCACAGCGCTGGCCGCGCTGGGACACGGGGAGCCCGGCCACCTGCACCGACCCGGGGTGCCTGCAGGCAGACCTGGCCGACTGTGGCTGCAGACCTTCCTCTCGGCTCTGCGCTGGGACATCGGGGGTCCCTGCACTGGTTCTGATGCTGGGGACCTGGGGAGGGCGGACGGGCTGGGAGGGCTGGACCTCTTGCCCCTGCCCCTCCTGGGCAGCACCCCCCCGGGGGGCAGGGGCCCTGGGGGTCAGGGCAAAAGGGGGTCAGGGCCCCGGGGTTGGGAGAGCTCGTCCACCTCGATGCACCGTGGCTGTGCCCGCCCTCCTCCCGGGACACTCACAGGCGCCCTGCCCTGCTGTCCAACTCCGACCCTGACTGGCCACAGCTCATCCTCCCCAGGTCTCGACTCCACACCCTTCCTGCCAGGCGCGCTAAGAGGAGGCTCAGCCTAGCACCCGGGGCGGGTGGCAGTCCACGGCCACCACCGCCGCCACCACTGCCGCCATCACCACACCCCCATCACCGCCGCCATCACCCCCCCATCACCGCCGCCATCACCCCCCCATCTCCGCCACCATCACCCCCCCACCACTGCCGCCATCACCGCCCCCCATCACCGCCGCCATCACCACTCCCCTCCGCCGCACGAGGAGCTGGAACTCAGCGGGCCCAAAAGCTGCTGTGGGGACAGGATCTCCTGTCTCACCCATCCTGAGACACAGTGCTGCTGCACGTGGACACAACACACGCCACACACACCTCACACCACGCACACCACACAGGACCACACCACATAGGACACACTCACCACAAACACAGCATCACACATGTCACACATACGTCACATGTACAGGCACACACACACACGGGCACACACACAGGCACACACACAGCACACACACACGGGCACACACACAGGCACACACACGGGCACACACACAGGCACACACACAGCACACACAGGCACACACACGGGCACACACAGCACACACAGGCACACACACAGGCACACACACACAGGCACACACATGGGCACACACACAGGCGCACACATGGGCACACACACAGGCGCACACACACGGGCACACACACAGGCACACACACGGGCACACACACAGGCACACACACACACGGGCGCACACACAGCACAAACACACAGCACACACACACACACAGTGCACACACAGCACACACACACAGGCACACACACACGGGCACACACACACAGGCACACACACACAGCACACACACACACACAGCACACACACAGCACACACAAACACAGCACACACACAGCACACACACACAGCGCACACACAGGCACACACACACACACACACAGCACACACACACACAGGCACACACACACACACAGCACACACACACACAGCACGCACACACACACAGGCACACACACACAGCACACACACAGGCACACACAGGCACGCACACACAGCACGCACACACACACAGGCACACACACAGCACACACACAGGCACACACAGCACACACACACAGGCACACACAGGACACACACACAGGCACACAGCACACACACACAGGCACACACACACAGGCACACACACACGGGCACACACACAGGCACACACACAGTGCACACACACACAGCACGCACACAGCACACACACACACAGCACACACACAGCACACACACACAGGCACGCACACACAGGCACACACAGCACACACACACAGCACGCACACACACACACAGGCACACACACAGCACACACAGGCACACACAGCACACACACACAGGCACGCACACACAGGCACACACAGCACACACACACAGGCACACACACAGCACACACACAGGCACACACACACAGGCACACACACACACAGCGCACACACAGGCACACACACAGGCGCACACACACGGGCACACACACAGGTACACACATGGGCACACACAGGCACACACACACACGGGCGCACACACAGCACAAACACACACAGCACACACACACAGTGTACACACAGCACACACACACAGCACACAGCACACACACAGGCACACACACACAGCACGCACACACAGCACACACACAGCACACACAGGCACACACACAGCACGCACACACACACCCAGGCATACACACACAGCACACACACAGCACACACAGGCACACACAGCACACACACACAGGCACACACAGCACACACACACACAGGCACACACAGCACACACACAGGCACACACACACAGCACACACACATGGGTGCACACACAGCACACACACAGGCACACACACACAGCACACACACATGGGTGCACACACAGCACACACACACACAGCACACACACACAGGCACACACACACAGCACACACACACACAGGCACACACGGCACACACACACAGCACACACACAGGCACACACAGCACACACACAGGCACACACAGCACACACACACACAGCACACACACACAGGCACACACAGCACACACACACACAGGCACACACACACAGGCACACACAGGCACACACACAGCACACACACACAGAGCACACACAGCACACACACACACAGGCACACACAGCACACACACACACAGGCACACACACAGGCACACACAGGCACACACACAGCACACACACACAGGCACACACACACACAGCACACACAGCACACACACACACAGGCACACACAGCACACACACACACAGGCACACACACACAGCGCACACACAGGCACAAACACACACACAGGCACACACACACAGGCACACACAGGCACACACAGAGGCACACACACACACAGCGCACACACAGCACACACACACACACACAGGCACACACACACACACACACAGGCACACACACACACAACACGCACACACACAGGCACACACAGGCACAGACACAGGCACACACACACACAGAGCGCACACACAGCACACACACACAGGCACACACAGTACACACACACAGCACACACACACAGTGCACAAACAGCACACACACACAACACACACAGGCACACACACACACACAGCGCACACACAGCATACACACACAGGCGCACACACACAGGCAAACACACAGGCACACACACACACAGCACACACACAGGCACACACACAGGCACACACACACACAGCACACACACACACAGCACACACACAGGCACACACACAGGCACACACAGGCACACACAGCACACACACAGGCACACACACACACAGGCACACACACACAGGCACACACACACAGCACACACACACACAGCACACACACAGGCACACACACAGGCACACACAGCACACACACAGGCACACACACACACAGCGCACACACAGCACACACACACACAGGCACACACACACAGGCACACACACACAGCGCACACACAGGCACACACACAGGCACACACACACAGGCACACACACACACAGCACACACACAGGCACACACACACAGTGCACACACAGCACACACACAGGCACACACAGCACACACACAGGCACACACACACAGGCACACACACAGCACACACAGGCACACAGAAGACACACACACACCACACATACATCACACATACACACACACAGCACACACACACACCTCTCACCCCAGGTGCACCCTTCTCAGGTTTCTGGGCTCGTTCCTCGCGGCTCAGGCTCTCCTAGACAAGTTCCCGGTCCTGGGCCCTTAGCCCCTCTCTCCCACCCCACAGCTGCCTCTTCCCTTCACGCCTGTCCTGGGGACACTCCCTCGGGACATCCTGACATCACCAGGGGACAGACCGTTGGGTCGGGCTTGGTACACTGGCTGTGTGGGGTGTGAAGGTGCCCGGGACCCCTTTCTGCTCTATTTTGGTTCTTGTGTCTGGTTTTCCATCACCCCTGAGGCACTGGTCTGTTTGGTGCTGGGACGACCTGTGAGGCATCGTCCAACATGAGCACCACTGAGATACGCGGGTTCGAGCTGCCTCTGCCGAGCTGTCTGTAGTGACCAGGGGGGCGGGCGGCAGGGCTATCCCAGGTCTCCCCCCAGCCCGTCAGCAGTGTGGACAGGGCCCCCCTCCCCGATCCACACTGCTCCTGTCCTCCCCAGAAGAGGCGTCTGGACACCACCATGACCTCTGAATGCGGCGCAGACCCGGGCTACTCCTGAACCCTGGTCTGCTCATGTCCTGATGACCCTGGACTCTCTGCGGATGGATGTCCGGGAGGCCCACTTCGAGGGCCTGGGCAGAGCTGACGGAGGGTGAGGAACCCACCTCCCTCACAGCCAGAAGGCGCAGCCACAACAAGCACTGAGCACTATCTCCTCAGGCATACTCTCCTCCTCTCCGTTCTCAGGTCCTGGGTGAGCTGGGGACGCACAGGTGCCTCTCACTCGGCCCAGGCCCAAATGAGAGACTGGCTTCCTGGCAACACTAACAGTGGCCCCAGATGCATCATAAAGGTGGCCCCCCCCCCAGGGACGCATCACCGACAGTGGGGGAGGGGCAGGCCAAGGGGGTCCCCAGGGGACCCTCACCACCGGCCCCTGAGCCTGGAGAACTTCAACCTTCAGTGAAAAGGCAGGGCTTCTGCCCCTGACCTACTGCCTCAATAATTTCGGGCCGGAGGTGGCCAAGCTGTCCATTCCCAACCTCATCCTCACGCTTGACCCTGGAGCCGAGATGCCGGGCTCTGTCCAGGGTTGTGGGCACCTCTGTCTGGGCTTGACCAGCACCCCACCCCCCTGCCCCCGGCTGACCCCGTTGGCTGCAGAAGGGCCACAGTAGATGGTGAGTGGGGAGTGCAGGCACGTGGACACCATGGCAAGTGGGTGGCTTACCCCACAAGGACAGCCAGCTCCTGTCTTGGGGTCTCCCGCCATCCGCTTTGCCCCAGTCTTGGTTTATAAGCTCAAGAAACACCTGGTCCTCAGTGTGGGGTCCAAGGACTCCGATCTGATGTGGCGGATTCTGGTCTCAATCCTCCCCAGGGGAAGGCAGGTGGATGGGAATGTGTCCCCCTCCGTCCACAGAGGCGGCATCCTGTGGCCTCCTGCCTCCCTGAGGAGTCACCACTCTGGGCACCGTCAGTGATGGAAGGAAGGCTGGCTTCCTCCAGGCAGTGTGCCAGCCCTGCTGCCTGAGGCCCGTGGGGATCAGAGGTTGGCCTCCCCCGGGTCCTCTGGGCCTGGTCTGGATGGACAGGCATGAGGGAGGAGCCAGCGGGTTGCAAGCAGTGGGGTGGGCGGGAGGCTGGTGAGGAGGGGGCTCCTCCAGGCCTTGGGGCCTCCCGCGGGGCAGGGCTGGTCAGGCCAACTCTGCTCCCTCAACTGCCTAGCCTCAACCTCCCACTCACTGGCTTCTGTTTCCTCACACACCGTTGGCCCAACAGCACTGTCCTGGAGCAAAGCAACCCCTGGGTGACGGGGACGCTTCTTCCAAAACTCCAGCTGACCACAGGTGGACAGGCATGCGAGAGCCTGGGATCACAGCTGGGAGCCCCAGGGGATGAGGGGTCTGGTACCTGCCTCCAGGGCCCCTGCACACAGTGCCCGCCCAGGGGTAGGCCTGAGAGTAGGAACCTCCACCAGAAGGTACTTCCAGGGAGGCAGGCGGCTCCAACCGCTGTCCATGGTGCTGCCCAGAGCCCACAGGTGCCAAGGAGATCCAGGATGGAAAATCAGGCACCCAACCAGGGTCTGACCCCAAGACGCAGGGTCTGACCCCACGACCCAGCCCACAGGCAGCAGAGGCCTCCAAGACGCCGGAGCTTTGGTCCCTGGAGACTAAAAGCAGAGCTCAGCTGCTGCAGGAAGAGCGCGAGGCCTGCATCCCACTCCCCCCTCAAGGGCCAGGCCCGGGGATCCCGGCAGACTGACAGAGCTCAGCTGGCAGAGCGGCCCACCCACGTGCTCCTCCTCTGCAGGGCCGGGCTCGGGGGTCCCGGACACCACGGCTCCCGATCACAGCAGGCACTGCCAGGCTGCAGGTGTGTCTTCACACGCCCTGGGAAGTGCTCTCTGGTTAAGATGATCGTCATCACGGCCGCCTCCAGAAACACGTATGTGCAGCCACGGCCAGCGCACTGCGGACCCCAGACCCTCACTCATGGGACTTTGGGGGATGGTGAGCTCAGTCACCCACAGGCGGTGCCACCAGGGCTACCCAGAGGCCAGGGAGCTTCCGGAGGCTCCAAACCTCTGTTTCAAGGCAGGAAAACAGCAGGGAGTTGTGTGGGAGCAGATGTGACCCTGGACACCACTCAGGTGCCTAGAGCCGGGCCAGAGGCGGGGGAGACAGCACCAGGAAGGTAGGCCATCAAGCTGAGTGAGAAGTGAAGGCTCTTCACTGAAGTCACTCAACAGGGGACACCTGGCCGGGTTGTAAATAATGCACGCAACAACGCTGTGTTTCTTTTTATTAAGATCTGTATTTACAATCTGCAGATACAAACAGGCATCCAGTAAACACATCCAGAACAAAGCAATTTCTGACACGTGATCCACAGCTGCAGCCACAAGACGGCCCACTGCCCAGCAGAGCTCCCCACGTGGCGCCCCCCATGACCTGCCCCAGAAGTGTGGGGACACGGGCTCGGTGGGGTGGGATACACACAGGACTCACCCACGTCTGCTCCCCGAGGACGCAGACTGAACAGTGTGTTTACACAGGCACCGAGAGGGACGTCCCCGCCACCTAGCAGCCCAGAGACAGACCACGCCGGCTTCACAGAATCTGCTCACACACCCTTTATAAGTGACGTCCACCCCAGGATGCACAGGGCTGTCCATGGATACCCCACATCTGAGTGCGGCAGGCATGATCGCAGGTAACTCACCAGCTCCCCGGGGCTGCTCCCGCAGGCCGAAGGAGACAAGATGAAGTTTTTGTCTCATGACAAAAACTCTGTACATGCAAATAAAAACTGAGAAGCACAAAACCACCGAAGACCGCCTGCAGGCTAGGCCTTTGTGGAGGCTGCAGGCTCCGGAGACTGCAGGAACTCATACGGGTCGTGGGCTGCCTCCTGCTGCTCCCCAACGCTGAGGCGAGAAGGGCTCCCTGCAGTGACGGGAGGGGGACACGTCAACCCAGCGCTTAACCCCACTCCGCCCAGGAGGCCCGGCTGGACATGTGTCCTGGGGCTGCAGCCAACTGAGCCCACGGCTCAGCCAGAGCCCTGGACCCAGAGCAGAGACCACCCAAGGGCCCCAGGGAACCGTGGCCGAGCATCCACGCAGCAGGGCTATCAATCCTGCAGGAAGGCAGCTCCTGGGCTGGGGGTCCTCGGACACCCCCAGACCTCAAGGAGTTCCAGGGTCACCCTGAGTCCACCAGGACCTCGGGATCTTCAGATACCCCCAAACCCCGAGGAGCCCCAGGGTGACCCTGAGTCCATCAGAGCCTCAGGATCTTCAGACACCCCCAGACCCCAAGAAGTCCCAGGTCACCCTGAGTCCAACAGGACCCCATTGGGCTCCTCAGACACCCCCAGACCCTGAGGAGCCCCAGCGTCACCCTGAGTCCACCAGGACCTTGGGATCCTCATAGCTGGGAGCCACCCCAGAGTCACCTGGGACCTCTTCACAGGCTTTTATCACCAGGTTAACAGGACCAAAATGCTGGTCCTCTACTTGGACAGCTTCAGCCAATGGTCTGCAGCTCCCCTCCCTTCCCCCAAACGTCAAGATATGCAGAAAGGGAAGTTCAATGCTTGGGTCTGGAGCTGACGCAGGAATGTGAGAACATGAACAGCGTGCTCAAGGGGCCAGCAGACGATGTCCGCTCCCATCATGGTGGAGTCGAAACCCACCACCCACCCACCCTCACGTGCCAATGGGGGCTCCCAACCAAGGATGGCGGTGTGCCCCTCCCAGCGAGGACCGCGTGGTCTGTCCCATTCCCCCCCAACACCAAGGACCCTGAGGTCTGTCCCGTGACCCCCACCCCCGAGGGCCCCGAGGTCCTGTGGCCCCCCCACCCCCACCGAGGGCTCCGAGGTCTGGCCCGTGCCCCGCCCACCCCCCCGAGGGCTCCGAGGTCCTGTGGCCCCGCCCACCCCCCCCCACGCCCCCGCAACCGAGGGCCCTGCAGGAGCACAGCGCTGCCCACGCGGCTTCAGGACCGGAAGCAGGAAGAAGCCAACGTCCCCTCCTCAATGACACTGTGGCATCCACAGCCTGGACGTGACCAGCGGGAGCTCTTCCCGACATGGATCCAGCTTCATCTTCAGGCCAAACCCCCAGGTTCACAAGACTGAGTTCCACCCAAACCCCTCCCTCAGTGCTGCCGCCCGACCAGAGTCCTTGTGGGGGCCTGTAGCGCCCTGGACCCGGCCCAGCCCGCTGCTCCTGCCCTACCGGCTCCCCCAGGGGCACCCACGTCCGGTGCGTGGCGGGCCTCACCCAGATGGTGCTGGTCCCGGTCGGAGGCATTGGACAGCGAGCTGAGGTTGGACGAGGGCCGAGAGCCCCCGCGCTCCGCCTGCGCCTCCTGCAGGTCCTGAAGGAGCTTCGTCGTCTCGTCCAGGCTCAGGTGCCCGTCCTCAGGGTCCAGCTCCTTCTTCACCTTCCCTGCGGACACAGACGACGGGGCTGGGCCAGGCTCGGGTCACCACTGTCTTGCGGGGCCCACACTGCGTGAGGCGCCTTGCGGGGGGAGTGGCGCGCGCCGGACAACAGGCCACGACCCCGAAGGGCCAGCGGGACCCTGCCCCTCACGGTGGGGCCGCCTTCCCCTGCGCCGAGTGGCTCCCCGCCCTGGGGAGGTGAGAGAACACCCGATGGGGCCCCGAGCTGACATCAGATGGCACCAGAGCAGGCGGGGAGCAGGGAGGAACAGCCCCAGGGAACATCGCAAACGAGACAAGAGGCGGCGACCAGGACCCACTGCACACTCAGAAGGCAAACGACACGTGAAGGGAGGAGAGAGGGGAGATACAGGAAAAGCTGGGGGGGCCAATAACTCGGCGCCTGCAGGGCTGTGTCCGCCCCGGCTGGAAACCAGCGGAGAAAAAATGCCCCACGGGAGACGGGCAGGATCAGGCCCAGGTGAAGGCGGGACAAACTACAGTCAGACTCCCCACGTTCAAGAAAAACCCCCGGCCCCAGGCACAGCAAAGACAGGAGCCTAAGAACAGACCCGAAAGAGAGCAAACGGGGCTGGTGACAACCCCACTACTGACAGAAAAAGGAGGAGACAGCAGCCTTGGCGGAGGGAGGGCCAGTCGGAGGCAGGGCGGCCCTCGGCTGCACCCGAGCGAGAGGGGCCGCCAGGCCCACAGTGAGCTTCCTGCCGGACCCCTGCCTGTTGTGCGCCTGGGGACGTGCCCGACAGAGGGTGCCCAGGGGTCACGCTTGCTGCCAGGGACTCTGTGGGAACAGAGCTCTGCAAACTGACACTGGTTCCCGCAGCACCTCCTCCCCCAGCACGCCTCCCTGGAGGACCCTGGTCTGTCTTTCCGCTGGGACAAGCCACAAGCGTGACCACTGCAGACTCCATGTGTCCGCAGGTCTGAAGGGGCTGAAGGGCCGGGCCCACACGCAGGGCCAAGGGCAGAGGGCCCTCCTGGGAGTCAGGGTGGGCTGGGGCACACGGAGCGATGGTGGCGAGCACGGCAGGAGCTCCCCACTGCCCACCGGACCAGGGGACCCAGGGATGGGGCCAGAGGTCAGAGAGGAAAGCCTGGCGAGCCCAACTGGGAGCCACTGGGGGTCCTAAGGAAGGGGGGTGGGGGGGGTCCTGAGGACAGGGGGTGGGGGTCCTGAGGACAGGGGGTGGGGGTCCTGAGGGCAGGGGTGAGGGGGGTCCTGGGGACAGGTGGGGGGTGGGTGGGTGGGGGTCTTCATTCTGGGACCCATAGGCTGGGCCGAGACACCCTCTTAGCAGCAAGCACAACACGGCGCCTGGCACAACCTACCCAGACAGCCGAGCACGGAGATGTCCAGGGAAACATCTGAGTAGGGCTTCATGGCCATGAAGTCCAGCGTGGAGCCCCCGTCCCCGAGAGGGTCCCCAGCCTGCGGGAGACAAGCCATGTGAGACAAGAGGAGAGGCAGCAAGCTGCTGCCCACCACCTAGGGCGCAGAGGCTGGGCCAGCTGCGTCCCGTACGCGCGAGGAGTCCACAGACAGGCCGAGCCCAGCCCGGGGACGACAGGGCCTGGGCTCCCCAGAGGAAGATTCTACCTGGGGCAGCCAGGAGAGTACTGGTCCCCGGGCACCCATGGGCGCTAGGGGTATTGCGGAGAGCCCTGCAGGTGCTTGGGGGGGGGGGTCTCTGGGGAGGTCCCTGGGGACCCACAGGCACTGAGGAGACACCCAGGACTCGAGGTCAGGCTGTCTTTCAGGAACTCAACAGACATCATGGCAGGTCCTCGCCTCCTCAGAGGCCCTGCTGTGGGTCCAGGGCAGGCGCGGGGTGGTCCTTGCTCTGGCGGCTGCAGCCCGCCCCAGGTCCTCGCGGGACGTGCAGGGCAGCGCCCAAGGCCACACGTGTCGCACAGCGCAGAGACCAAGCAGACACCCGGCCACCCTGTGCATCTGGGGAGGCATGTCCTCAGACGGCACCCTCCCCAATTCCCCGTCAGTCAAAGGGCCCCATCTGACAGGCACCTGACCTCTGCCTTGTGAGGCCCCCGTCATGGAGGCCAAGTGACCCCCACAGCCCAGGCCCCCGCACCCTGCCCCATCCCAGTGCCTGCCCATACGGGTGGTTTCAGAGCTGGGGCCAAACACGCTCTAGGTCACTGCAGGTGGGGCAAAGGCCACGGAGGACCGTGTCCTTGGGATGGCGAGGCCCTGGGCTGTTCCTGCTGGCCACCCACGCCTACCAGTGAGCCCATCCCGGGAGGAGGCCCCGCCACACCCTTAGGCCAGGTCACCACGGGCGGGCTGAGATCAGACCATCTCGCTTTCCTCCTCAGCAAAAGGACTGAAGCTCCTCTCACTGGCGCTGTCTCAAAGGCCACACAACATCCTCACAGGGACCTGCATCACTAGGTTTTTACTGTCTGTAACTTGTCCACGGAACCCACCTTCACTTCATCCGGAGGTTTCATCGGAACGCTTCTCCTCTACAAAGAATCACAGACAAGAGCCAGTCTCTAAGCAGCTGCACCCAGGAGCACACCCGCTTACCCTCTCACTCACCCAGGAGGTGGGACAGGCCCACCTGCAACCTGAGCGGGCCTCACAGGCTGCAGCCAGAGTGAGGCTGCCACAGCGCCTGCCAGCTGAGACCCCCGGTGGGCTGGGCACCAACAAGACCACCCAGGGCGAGATGGCCATGAAGGAGTGAGAGCCCCCAGGCTGCATCCTCAGCCCCAGGGGTGGGAACACAGGTGGGCAATCAGACACTGGCCCCCCGGGGCTTCACCTGGAGGACGGCTGACCCGGGGCTGGGGGTGGGGGGTCTGCTGAGACCAGCAGAGGAGATGGTTGGATGGTATCACCGACTCAATAGAATTGAGTGTGAGCAAACTCCAGGTGACAGTGGCGGACAGAGGAGCCTAGTGGGCTGCAGTCCATGGTGTCGCAGAATCGGACAAGACAGAGACTAAATGACAAGGGTCTGAAGCTGTGCCGCTCTGAACAGTTCACATTCAGTAAAGCGATAAGACCGTTCTCGCCTCCTCTGTCCTAAGCTGGCCGTGCGCGCCCGGGTTTACTTCTGGGCTCCCGATTCCGCCCCATTTGTCTGCGCACCTAGTCCAGTGCGGGTACCACACGGCTCTGATGATGGTAGCTCAGCAGTACAGGCTGAAACCTGCAGGAGGGAGACCCCCGGCTCTCTCTCAAGACTGCTTTGGCTACTTGCGGTCTCCGGTGCCTCCACATAAACTTTAAAATCATTTGTTCTAATTTTTTGAAAAATGCCATTGATGTTTTGATAGTGACTGCACTGTATCTATGGCTTGACTTGGAGAGTATAACCAATATTAATTGGTTATATTAATATTAATATTAATTCTTCCAATGCAAGAGGAGAGTCTATTCCATAAGTAGTGCTGGAAAAAGTGGAATGTTACATGTGAAAGAATGAAATTAAAACGTTTCCCTAGTACTGTATACAAAAAGAAACTCAAAATGGCTGGGGAGGAAACATTTAAGGCTTTGTGGTCACACACAGGGTGTGGCACATTTTCAATTTCTATTTTCTAAAACACTCAAAATCTATAAAAAAAACATTGTTAATGGGCCAAAGTTTGCCAATCCTAATCCTGACCAAAAAATACATACTACAAATGGAAAATAAAAATAAAAGTGACCGCAGACACAAAGCGAGTCAGACATCACTCTACAAAGAGGCTGAGATGTCAATCTAGGATCCACACCAGGAAGACGAGCGTCAAAAGTGAAGGTAGAGTGAAGACAGCTCTCAGATGAAGCTCAGTGAGTTTGCTGCCAGCAAGTCTGCGCTTTAAGCTAAAAGGACGTTTTTCAGGACGGTGGCAGGTGACAGCTGAGGAGACGGGCGGGTCTGAGGGGTGAAGAGCAGGTGCCAGACGAGGGTGCCCTTCCGAGGCTTCCCTGGAAGCAATGACTGAAGTTGACCCGGGGGGAGAACAGCTCCATCACCTCGCACGCGAGCCCAGCGCCCACCTGCCTCAGCCGGAAGAGCATCCGTGAGTGGTCCCCGCCTGTGATCTGGTCCAGGAGGTCGTCCACCAGCTTCTTGCTGTAGCTCCCGGCATCCTTCACAAACTCCTGCAGGCTGGAGGGGCCGCGAGAGCAGGCTGGGACCTGTGTTCCTCACCCTCCTGCCCTGGCTGCCCACCCCCGAGGTCCAGATGGGGTGGGTGGGGGGCTGACCACACTCAGAGCGACCCCAAAACAAGAAAGGTAAAGGCAAAGCAAAGCAAAGCACAAGGCATCTGCACACCTAAGTCCCTCACACTGACTTTTATGAGAGCACTCATGTCTGTTTTGAGCTCAGAAACACAAGGAGATTAAGGAGAAAGCACTGGGTGGGCTGGGAGCACCTCTGGGGTCATTTTGGACCATAAGGAAGTGAGACAATCCCAAACCAGACTAATGAGTTTAAAACAGAGGCCACAAGTTGAGAACAGAAGCTGGGAGGAGAACCCACAGCCTGAGCAACACAGCCAGGCCAAGGCCTGAAGGGGCCCTGACGGCAAAGCCTTCACACGGCTGTGGACCTGGCTCCGCACCCAGTGTCCGGCTGCCTGGACTCTGCACCCAGCGTCCGGCTGCCTGGACCAAGGGCAGTGGGCCCCAGAGCCATGCGCTGGGGCAGGGCGACACAGGGTCACCACCTGGGAGGCCACCCTCTACCACCACACCTTCTTCTTGGTTTTCCTCATTTAATTCTGGTTTCGCACAAACAGCGGGGTCAGCTATTCGGTTACTGTATTAGAGGCTAACTGATTTCTGTGTGTTCTTCAGACACACTCCACGTTGTTTTCGGAGGAAGACAGACACCTAACATGGGGAGACGCCATTTCTGCAGTTCTGTAATAGAGAGCCTCGGACGGCCGTGACACTGGCTCTTCCTGGAGCACGATGGGTCACACCAGGCTCTGACAGACTCCGGCCTGGATCATCATCCCCTTAAAAACCTGGTCCAGTTACCTGAGCTTCGAGGCCGCCGGCAGAGGCCACAGTCATTTTACTGAACACAACCATGGCCTGCAGCCAGGAACCGATGCCCTCCTGCCCGCCACAGACGCTGACTGGCCCCCACCCACCTCAGTGCGCACTGCACGCCCGTCTCGTCTCCGTAGGCCGAGTACAGCAGCTCCACCTCGTCAGCCTTCAAGTCACCAAACACGGAGTTGTTGTGCGTGGAGAGTGCAGTGCTGGCACTGGAGAGGAAGGTGACTGGGGGGGTGCAGAGGCCGAGGTGAGGCACACAGACACACGGGCCGCGCACAGGCCATGTCTCCAGGGGACCGCGGAGAACGAACAAACCAGAGCCCCTCGTGGAGCCCACGTGCCCCCTGCACCCAGCACCGTGTTCTCAGGAACCTCCAGGCGTGGGTCTCTCCACTGCCTACAGTGTCATGACTCCCAAGTGGAGGAATCGTTTGTTGGAAAAAGTTTAAGTGGCGTCACTGGACCACCATGCGGAGAGCAGCCGAGCGCAGGGAGGAGCCCCCACCCTGGCAGACGCGGAGGCGGGGCCTGCCTGCTGCGCTCCAGCTCCCGCACCTCCCAGGACCCCCCAGCACGATGGGACCCAGAGCCAGGCCTGATACAGCAGCCGCTGGGTAGGGGCGGGGGGTCTCACCTCGGCTCCTCCGTTCCTCCCGGAAGCCCAGCGTGGTGAAGCCGGGCAGTAGCTTGCTGGACAACGAGCTCAGGTCCACTGGGTGGGTCTCCTCCTCTGCATGGGACCAGAGCCGTGAGCAGGCGGCCCCCAGCCGCAGGCAGCGGCGGCAGCATGTGGGAGCGCAGCCTGGGGCCCCCGGGACCATCTGAATTCGGGTCTACACAGCCGGCAGCCCCTCTCAAACCTTGGCTGCCTGCAGTTTCACAGTGGAAGGCCAGCGGTCGGCCCACCACATGGCAACACAACCCCAACCCCATGCCACAGGCCCCACCTCCGAGACCTCAGTCCACGTGCTGCAGGAGCAACACGGTCCCCTCCACCTCCCAAGAGGCCTGCGGGCGGTTCCCATGGGGACTGGGGCCTGAGAGGACTCCACGTCCCCGTCAGAGCCTCAGTCGCGTATTCAGAGCAGGACCAGCTTGCCTGTTCTCTTTTATTGAGAACACTACGATTCACTCCAGCTGACGATTAAAGTGGTCAGCACCTGCCTTCTGCATCCATGGAGGACTCCTGACCACACTTGCATCCTGCCACGTGGGCAATGGGACATGCCTCATCTACACGTCAGCAAGGAACAGGAGGCCCTTAGGCGGGCCGGTCAGCAAACGGGACAGGGTGGCGGAGCAGGCACGCACCGTCGGCATCTAGCCCAGCCGTGTTGACCACGCTGTAGAGCAGGCTGCCGTCCCCATTCTTCTTCAGGTAGCCCATCTGCAAGAGAGCAGCCTGAGCGCCTGTGCCCCCAACCCCCCGCAGCCTCCAGGCCCCCTGCACCCCCAACCACCGTGGCCTTGAGGCCCCCCGCAGCCCCCAACCCCCTGCCCAGGGCTCCTCCAGAGCAGGGCTCCCGAGGGGCCAGGAGAACCACGGCCTCTGAGGACAGCCTGTCCCGAGTAAACCCTGAACGGCCACAGAGCTCCCTGTCCCCTGGAGACCACAGACACACCCCGTGCCGCGAGCACACGACCCCAGGCACACGTGTGCCACGGGGTAGCTGCTGAGCTGCACTCCTAGCACCCTTGTGACCAGGAGCTTCGAGGACACGACACTCCCCAGAAACAGCCTTTTCCAGGAGCCAGAAGCCTGACCAATGCGAGCTGGGGTAGGGCCTGGTCAAGGAGACCAGAAGCCCCACCTCCACACACATGGAGCCTGCCTCCGTCTAAACCAAGCTCCACCCGGGAACAGCGCCCTTCGCAGGCCAGGGCGGCCCAGGCCAGGAGCAGCCCCATGCGATGGTGCAGGGGAGCCCAGGGATGGGACGCGGGCGACAGCAGGCGGCTCCTCGCTGCAGCCACGAACTCGCAAGGAGCAGAGAGGACCCACAGGTGCGGGCAGACCTGGAGGTTTCAGTGTGAGCGCATGGCCTTCGGTGAATGTGAATCAGGGCAGGGTGCACAGACAGAGGTGGCCATCCTAGCACTGTGCACCCGTGTGCAAACAGGACGGACACCCTGGTCTGCGAGGAATCAGTGCTCAGTGTGGAAACGCTGGCTCCGGGGCTGAGGAACCACCGCAGCACGTCACGACACGGGGACCTCACACCTTACAGCAGGCACGTGCAAACCAGCAGGAAACAGGAGACATAAGACGTGATGTGTCTTATATAACCTGACACATCCCAACTGCGACCACTTCATGGTTCTTTATGTAAAACCCAACACACCCTCTTCAGACCTAGTATAAATAGAAAGTTCAAGTAGATTTCCACACACACAGTGTGAAAATGAAACGTTAGACACACCAGGTCAACCAAACACCAGGGTTAACTAACTTTGGTCTTTCCTTGCTAACAGTCACCAGGAAGCCTAAAGCCACTCGCCCACGTGATTCCCACATGCCTACCAGACGCCTCTGTGTCAGAGAGGGGTTGTGCAGAGCAGGGTGGGCCCTCGTGGGGGCTGGCTCATGCTTGGTTAGACCCATGGAGACTGCAGAGGCGCAGACACCGAGAATGCGGAAAGGACGCGCCACTGTGGAGAGGCAGGGCAGGCTCGGCCCCGGCCTGGACACAGAGTGTAACCCTCTGCCAGCCAGCGGCCTGCACACCACTTGCCACTCCCGCCCCCAGGAGATGGTCTGCCAGCTGTGGCAGCCGTGGGGACCAGGTGCTAACCCCTCCAGAGACAACGGCAGCAGGACACGGCGGTGCTCCGGCCAGACACTGGCAGTGTCCACCAGTGCTCGGTCGTGCCGACAGGCCAGCACCGGGCAGGTGGCTCGGTCGCCCCCAGGGCACTACCTTGCCGCCAGGCACCAGCCGGCTGATCCTGTCCCGGGCCTCGTCGGCTGCGTGCTCCACCAGCGCCAGCACATGCTCCTCCGCGGTGCTGTCTGTCAGGCTGCAGGCATTCCCCTCCGGCTCGAACACGCAGCTGTGAGGCGGGGACATGCACCAGTCACGCCTGCCCTCCCGGCAGCCCACGCACCAGGTGGCGGCAGGGAGCACAGGGCGCGCTTCACACCCTTCCTTCTGCTCCTAAACCTCCACCGGCTACGGCCCCTCGGGTCTCAGCCCCTCCTTCCGGTGGCTCTACGGGCAACAGGAGCCTCGCTGGCGACAGCGTCACTCAAGCACTGGACCGACAGTGGCAGTGATTCCGTGCAGGGTCGGGGCGCTGGCAGTGAGCGCAGGCTGAGAGCAGACCCCAGACCGCCCCGAGACAGCAGAGGCAAGAGGGGCAGCTGCCAGCACCCGAGGGAGGTGGTCCTCTTGTGGAAGTCTCTGGAAACAGTGGTGAAACCTCTCCAAGGAGTCGGGGGCGAGCCCTCTGGGGTCCTGAGCCTTCGGGAAGCCCCCTCACAGCCAGCCCCTAACTACAGAAGCAGGAGCCTGATAACAGGCCCCTACCCACCCTGACCCGAGCTGTCATCCACAAGAGAGCCCCCGAGCCTGGGACAGGGAGCCCCGGCCGCCAGCACGCATCCTGCAGAGAGGGGACCCTTGGGAGTTAAGGCCCAACGAGGATTCACAGGACGTGGTAACAGCAGCGCCCGGGCAGCGGGCCTGGCAAGCCACACCCGGGACAGAGAGTGGGCGTGGCCCGTGAGGGTGGCTCAGCCCGTGCCCCCGACACCTGCTGGGGTGGCGTGGCTCTCCTACAGGACCCGCTGCTGCACTAGCATGTGGGGATCGACGGCCAGAGTGGAGAACTGCGCCCCTCGCGACCGACCCCAGGGCCCAGGGCCTGCTGACAGTCCTAGCAGGATGGTGGCCGCCACCACAGCCACCGCACTCTCGACCGGGCAGGGAGGAGGTTGCTTCTGTGTGAACACGGGTTGCAAGCTCCATCCCAGCTGCCGTGAGCACGCGGGGCTGGGACACGGACCCCGCCAGCAGCGAGGACGGCGGTGCCCACAGAGCCGGGCAGGCGGGCGGCTCTACCTGACGACTTCTCTACTTGGCCGCTTGGACTTCTTGGCCGTCTCTACGTGCACGGGCACGACTTCGGGGACAGGCTCCTCGGCAGCCGTGTCTTCGTTGCCCAGAAGAGCCGCCTGCTGAGAGAAATCCATGTCCTGCATAAACGACATGCTGCGCTTCAGAGCTAAGAGCCGCTCCTGGAACCAGAAAGCACAGAGCAGCGGGCTCGACCTCTCCCTCCGGCCACGGCACCGACGAAGCGAGGGGAGGGGTGGCCGCAGCCTCGCCCGGCCTGGCGGCTAACCCTCCGGGGGCGGGGAGCGGCAGAGCACGCCCCCCGAGGCTGGTGAGGCCCGCACTGGTCCTAGATACGTGTCACATGCAGCCTGGCTCAAGGGACAGAAGGGGGCCCCCGGGCTGGGGGTGGGGCGCTGGGCTCTGGGAGGCAGCCACACAAGAGGAACCCGCAAGGCAGGCGGCAAGCCAGCGAGACCCAAGCATCTGGAACTCCGCCCCAAGCCGGCTGGGAGCAGAGAGGGGGGTGTGTCTGGAGGAGGGGCGTGCTCACAAGGGCAGCTGGCTGGGGGCTCCCTAGAGCAGAGGGCCCGTGCCGTGGCCAGGGGCGCATGGACGGAGCATGGCATTTGCTGTGAGCTCCCGTCCAGGCGTGAGAGCCAGGGAGGAGGCGGCACTCAGCCGCAGCCCCGCACTCGCCGCCGAGGCCCCTTACTTTGCTCATCATCTTGAAGCCGGCGTGCAGGATCTTCTTGGCCAACTTGTAGTACACGGTGTCCGGCCTGTTGTATGTCATCGCGTTGTCACACATCAGCTTGAAATCTGCCTGAAAAGAAAAGAGACAATTCACCAGGTGTGGAACACCACACAGATGACAAAAGACTCAAGATTCCTATCAAAAGAAGCCGAAGGAAGACGCTGAAACACACTGGAAAGCAAACGTGGCTCTCCCGTTTAAAGAACTCTCCTTTAATTTATGGAAATTGTTTTCAGCTCATTTCTGTTACAGCTTATTGTAAGATACTGAGTGCACTTCCCTGTTCCATATAGTAAGTCCCTGTAGGGAACCACTTGTATCTGTTCATCTCAAACTCTTAGTTTGCTCCCCCAACCCCACCCTTTCGGCAGCCACACTCTGTTCCCTGTATCTGTTCTGACAAGTTCGTTTGTATCATCTCTGTAAGGGATGCCATATAACATCTGCCTGACTTGCTTCACTTAGTATAACCTCTAATTTCATCCATGTTGCTGCAAATGATAACATTTCGCTCTTTTTTATGGCTGAGGAATTCAAGAATCATTTTTAAAATCTTTGAGAAGTTTTCATAACTATTCATTAGTCTTCACTTGCACAAAAATACCTGAATGAGAAGCTTGTCGAACTGCGTAATCCTTTCTGAACGTAGCACACACACTTCACGGGAGTAAAATGCTGGTTTCTCCGCTTCTTTCCTGACCTGCCCCCTTCCCTTCCTTGGAAGGAACTCGGACATTAACAGGAACAAGAACCAACAACAGGTTCTTTTAAGCAAAGCAGAGGGATAAATTGAGAGGTGGGCATGCCCTGTACCTCTGAAGTTTTTTCATAGAATTTAAAATTCTGCCTATAGATGGTTACTCTAGTACCATCAGAAAAACACTTTCCCCTAAAATAAGTGAACAACTTACATTAAAGGTAAACGCCCTGAAATGTCAGTATTCTGTCACCCTTGCCAAACTACTCAGGGCACACCTGACAGGTGAGTTAGACCTCAAGATGACCATGACTGCTAAGGTAGTGCACGCCACCTGCAGTCCTTCCCCCACCAGGCCAGTGTCCCCAGGGCCTGGCTGAGGCCTTAAAGCCTCTGTGTCGCGGGTCCCAACTGTGACAGGCTCAGGGACAGGGTGACACTCTTCACATCTCAGCTTTGTCACTGGGCGGCTGACCAGACTGGGTCCACAGGTGGATGGGTGCACTTCAGAACACAGATACAGGTAACCACCTGCCCACCTGCCTGAACTGCCCAGGAAAACTTTCCTTTTCTCCCACCCACCCTTCAGTCACCAGTCACTCCCTTTCAGTGAGTTCTCCAGTAAACAAAAATAGGAAAGCTAAGCTTGGCCAAAGTGAACAGAACCTAAGACAGAAATGCAACACCTTTTTCTAAATGGCATCACTGTCAACACTGTCAAACATCTGTTCTGAAGTTCCCCTGAAGCTGAATGCCAAAGAGCAGCTTTCGCCTTTCACAGCCAGTGCTGGAAAACAGAGTCAGCAACAGAGTACTCAAGAGAAAAAAACCATGATCCTAAAAAATTTAAACTCCCAGATAACTACATTAGAAAAATTACACTGCAGGTCAAATCAAACACACCTTTGCTTGACCCAACATGTCCATTTACACCAAAATACTAACTTAAGAAACACATGTCTACTAGCACGCAAGACACGGGCTAGCTTTTACACGAAAACAGGGAGAAAGTCACAACTGACCTCTGTATTTTCAAAACACCAACCCAACACAGAAACACCCACAAAGCTTGCAAATGCAAGCAACTAAAGCTGTGTGAAGGGTCTGTATACATGAATACACACGGAGCTTCCTGGTGAAGACTTCAGGAGGTGAAATGATCTACCTTAAACTCCGTGACTGACTTGTACTCGTTAGCTATGATCTTGTCTTTCATTGTGCCGAAGTCCATTGGGTGTTTTATTATCATCGAGTACCCAGGAGCGATTGCATCCGTGACAGGAAAAGCAAAAAATCCATGAGGATCTTTTCTGAAAACACAAACATCTTTATTTAAACTGGAAAAACCCAAAGATCTAAGTGTTTGAACAAACACCTCACAGTAAAAAATCTGATGCAATTAACCAAAATTTAAGGTTGCTTCTTAAAATTAACAAAATTTATGCTCTTTCAGACTGTGGTATTTTGGATATGCTAAAAACTCCAAGACTACTGTCCTGGGTCCTGTCATGACCCCACCCATGGCATTTGGCCTCTGGTGCCAACCTGGGGCTCCTGGAACTCTGAACCCTGCTCCCGCAGGCACGCCACCCCCACCGCCACCGCGAGAGCAGGAGCTCGTGGAGAGAAGAGCCCAGGGGCCCCCTGGAGCCCCCTGGAGCCCCCTTACCTCTGCAGCTGGCGGAGGAAGTGCTGCAGCAGCTGCTGGATAGGCGTGCTCTCGCTCTCAGCTGCCGGTTTAAAAAGGGAGAGAGTGAGTTAAACAAGTGTCTCGCTGACACCTCACTGTGAAGAAAAAGGGAGAGAGCGAGTTAAACAAGTGTCTCGCCGACACCTCACTGTGAAGAAAACGCCGATTTCTTGACCCTTATCGATCCATCTCCTGTTCCAGTGCTCCAGGCTCACATGAGAAGCGGATGAGACAGTGAGCAGACCTATGCGTGGTCCCCACCCAGTGCAGCTGGGGAAAGGGGCAGAGACCCAGAAGCAGTCCCCCCAGACCCCTCTGAGACAACCAAGATGGGATGTCACGCGTCACCCTGTCCCCAGCCCCCACCCCTCCTGGGCCTAGGACATTCCAGACAAAGTAAGAAGATGCAACCAAGACTTTGAACAGAAGTTGACAATGAATGCCCTGATAGCATCTTACTTGAATTCTCTGGTCATGCTTCTGCTTACTAGAAAAATGGGGACAAAATGGGGGTTCTTGTGAGGACTCTATTAACTACACCTCTGGACGCACAGCATGAAAAACACTGTTTTCAGCGAACGTGAACACAGAAGTCAGTTAGGTTTCCCTCCACAAGAGTACGTATGTATATGGTCTTCCCCGCTGTGTCCCCAAGGCTGCACCCAGAGCCCCAGATCCGGGGTTCTAAATGCTCTTCTCCACCGAGGAACGAGGGTCCTTGGGGGAACTCGCTCACTCCGGTCACCAGGGTGACACTGTTGAGAGAGACCAGAAGAGGTCCAAAGAAACACCTCATCACAGGCTTTCCAGGCACACAGGGAGGGTGCTCAACAGGCGGTATGAACGAGGCGAGTGATTACTGGCGACCGCAGGCACTCCACAGCCACGTCCAGCTGAGAAGCTGCTGCTCTGCGCTGACCTCATCTCCCCCACAGCAGGCCAGCAGCCCTGCGTCTCACTGCTCCCCAGGGGCAGGGCTGCCAGCAAACACCACCTCCACGTGCTGGGAGCCGTCATGGGGGGTCCCGCCCGTGACGAGGTCACGAGGAAAATACCAGGCAGGCGAGGCCGTCTGGGACCCCATCCATGACGAGGTCACGAGGAAAATACCTGACAGGCAAGGCCTTCTAGGATAAGGGACCCTCCAGGTTGGCCTCGGCCTCTATCCTACCCTATATCCTCCCCCCTTTTTCTGCTGTTGTTCTTATTTGCCCTGCTGCAGATTCTTGCGCTGCCTGCCGAGAGCTCTCCTGCTCCTCTTTCCCTGAATAAAGACCAACTTAAAAGCTAATTAATAAATTTCCTGGACTCTGGTACCCTATGAAGGGGCCAGGGATGAAGGAAATGCTTCAATTCAAACCCTTTTGCTGGCATTCTGGCTTGTTTGATAAATGTGTGCTCTCATTGCACAAAATGCTCATGACTGTTCTAAACATCCTAAGTACAGTACGCTAACAAAAGAAACTATTAAGCATAGGCCCCTTCGCAGGGTGAGAAAAGCTCCACAAGTATTATAGCCACAAATGTGCTAATAGAAAACAGTTTAGATAGAGATTAGCTGGTGACTTCTTGCAGGTAAACTTTTAGACTAAGAGCCTGTTTTGTGCCATATCTGCTGTTTTTGCAATCCTTTGCATTTCTGTTCTGTGAAAATGTAATCCTATCTAGTTCCCTTGGAGATGACACCTAATAGAAAGAAAATAGATTAACCACAAAAAAGACAGGGTCGGCTACTGAAGTTGCTTAAAGTTGCACCAGGTGCAAACCATAAATTGTCAATAGGCCTGAAAGCCAAAAGATATTATAGAGATTAACCATTAAAAAGGCCCTAATAGGCACAGAGCCCTTTGGGGGGTGAGGAAGCCCTATTAGAAAATACAAAAAATATTGTTTTAAAAGTGGTTATTAGATCAATGCTTGATTGATGTTAATGTGCTGAGGTTGTGCAGTGGAAACTATTGTTAATATAGTTAAATATATAGTAAAATAAAGAGTTTAGCCCTAGTGTAAAAACAATAATTGTTAATTTTAACCAAGAGTGCTAAACAGGGGCTGCCTCACCAGAGCCACAGAGTCTTTGTGTGTTAAACTTTTTAGATAAATTTAGCTGAGAATTTCTGCAAAAGACTGTCTTTTACGTTAACAGGATTGTATTTCTACTATGTTACAACCTGCTGTACCATGAGACTGCCACTTTTCTGTTTTCTGCTGAGCTCAAGGCCAGGAGATAATGTACAAAAAGTCTATGGGAAAAGACGCTCATATACAAAAATATACAGAGTACACCTGGTTTTGTGAAGGACAAGCTAATGTAATGTTAAACTAAGTCTGTGTGCTTATCTGCCCCTTAGAAGTGTACCAACTTAGGGTATAAAGGCTACGGTCAAAAATAAAGCAACTGCCAGACTCTGTTGCATATTCCTGGTCTGGTCTCTTTCTTTCTTTCTCTCTCTCTCCCTAGCAGACTTGGCCCTATCAAGGCCGGTCCTACGTTGTCTCTCTCTCGCCGACGCCGTTCATCCTGAGGGTTCCCCTGGATCCTGCTGGGGCTGGACCCCGGCATCCATGACCGCAAGACAATGTCTCCCCGCTCCTCAGCAAGTTAGAGGTGGTCAGACCTCCAGTCGGAGCCAGAGTGCCTCCCCCCAGAGGCGCCTGACAGTCTGAAACCTGAGGGAACTGCCCACACAGATCAGTGGGGATCTGAGCTTTCCAGAAGGTTTCCCCAGCTGAAGCCAGCACAGCTCCCGGGGATCTAAGGGCCCGAACGACTGATGCCAGCGCTGGCCTCCTCCCATCTCGGAGGACCTTCCTGGGGGCTCTCGGGCTGAGAGGCCAGGAGCCGCGGCAGGCCAAGCCCTGCTCTAGAAGCTCAAAGCGAGCAGCAAGAAACTCAGGCCGGCCCAGCTACTCTGTGAGGCCCTGGAACAGAGAGTGTGGCTCCTTCCGTCCTAGGCGTCTCCCCAAGCCCAGGGGCAGAAAGCCAACCGCTGCTCCCCATGACAAGCCCCCACAGCTCCAGGACGCCTCTGAATGCTGCCACTCGCCTGGCTGCGTCCGGCACGCTCGCACGGGCCTGTCGGGGGGCGGTTCCACCTCCACCTTCTTCCCCGGTTCGAAGTCGTCGGCCTCCCCCTCTGTGTCACAGTGCTCCTTCTCCCGTTTCCGCTTCTTCTCCTCCTATGAGGCAGGGTCAAAGCAGCGAGGGCAATGAAGTGTTTTTTAACAGACCTCCTGTTTCTAAGGGGGAGCTGAGAGTGAAAAGCCTCTTCCGGTAACCCTTCTCACCGCAGACCCCACCCTTCCAGGGGCCCTCCACAGGGGCCCAGCAAGAGATGAGAAACGGGAGACCCTGACTCTGCAGGATGCCCTCCGCCACAGAGAGGACACCCCGGCCCGAGCCCAGGAAGCCCTGACTCCATCCACCAGCACCCCCACCCCCCGCTCACCTTTCGTTTCCTCCTTTCTTCATCGTCAAGGTGCTTCTCCTTCTCTGACTTTTTCTTCTTCTTCTTCTTCTTCTCCTTGTGTCTCTCCCGCTCATGGTCTGACCTGTCATCGTAGTAACTGGAGTCGTGGCCGGACCCTGAGAGTTCCGTCACTTCGCTTCCTCCAACTTTGAGGACCAGCTTCAGGGGCTTCTCCAAGGGCTTGTCTGCATAGTCTGTGGACACAGAGGCGGCTTTCACCGAGTGCGCTCATGGAGGCCACTCAGCAGCGCACACTGCTACCCAGAAGGCGGCACCTCGGCCCAAGGTGAGGGGACACCGGAGGTCACTGAGGTCCGGGAAGGTGGGAGGACAAGCCAAGGTGAGGCGAGCAGCAGGGCACTGCCAGAACCATCAGAGAAAGATGGTGGTGAGTGCAACAGACGGTCGTAGGGGGCTCCTTCCCCTCCCCGCCGAGTTATCCTCCACCGGCCAAAAGAGGGGTCTCCAGGCCACTGTCGGAGGAACCAGACCACGCCTGGGGCCCAGGGGCCCAATCCCGGCCCGTTAGCTCTGGCCCCGGGTCGCCCCCTTCCCGCCCTGCCGCAGCCCCCCGTTGCGTAATCCCTGACACCAGGAGCAGGACACCGCGCATTTCACTCTCAGCTCCCCATTATAAACAGGAGGTCTGTTAAAAACCACTTCATTGCCCTCGCTGCCGGGAGAGACCTCAGGAAACACGGCCGAAAAACAGGGATGCTCCACACTTCTCTCCAGGGCGCGGCGACGCCTGAGAGCCGCGTCCCCGGGGCGCGGTGAGCGCGCCCGCGTCCCCGCCCTCGAGCCCGGGACCCCGCCGCCGCGAACGCCCGCCCGGCGTCACAAAGCGCGCCGCCGCCTCACCCTCGTACGACGAGCGCCATTCGGTCTTGTGCTTCTTGTGCTTCTTGCCCATGGCGGCGGCGCCCAGGGCAGCAGCGAGCCCGCCTGGAGCGCGGCCGCCGCGCGCCGGCCCGGGCCCGCCGCCCGCCTCGCCCGCGGAGCTCGCCCGGCCGTGCCGGAAGCGGCTGCGGCGGCCGGAAGTGACCCACCCGCTTGCGCCGGCGCTTCCGGGTCAGGGGGCGGTGCGCCGTGCGCGGCGGGTTTGAAGCGCGCGGGGCGCCGCCTGAAGGCCCAGGCCGCTGAGGTGGCGGGTCGCTGCGCGAGGCGGCGGCGGCGACGGGGCGGCCAGGTCCCCGCGGCTCCCAGCGGCGGCGCCGCCATGGACGAAGCTGTGGGAGACCTGAAGCAGGCGTTGCCCTGCGTGGCCGAGGCGCCCACGGTCCATGTGGAGGTGCACCAGCGGAGCGGCAGGTGAGCCCTGACTCGGCCCGAACCTGGCCGTTTCCGACCTGACGGGACCCTGCCCCGAGCCCGCCCCGAGCAGACCCGCCCTGACAGGGTCGGCTCAGACCCCGGCCTCCAGCCCGGGCGAAGCCGGCCCCGGGAACTCTGAGTTTTGGGAAGCGCCCCTGCGCCCTCACCCTCACCCTTGCCCACCATCCCCTTCCCCCGGCCAGGCCCTCGGGATGATGGGCCCCGGAGGTGCTGGCGGCGGCGGGTCTCCGGGAGCCGGGGGCTCTGGGGCGCGGACACCGTCGCAGGGGCCGCTGGAGGGCCTGGGCCCTCGGGGAGGCAGCGAGCGCGGGGGGTAGGGGCTGAGGGTGGACCTGAGCCCGGGAAACTCCTCTGGGGCCCCCAGCTGTGGGCATTTCATTCCCCCCTGACTGGCTGCTGTTTCCCAGCTGTGGGGCTGGCACCTCGGCAGCAGTTCCAGCTTGGTGACCAGCAGCCCAGGTGGCACTGAGGGGCCTGGGCAGAGACCTTGGGCAGCTTCCCTGGGTCACACAGCCTGCAGTTACCGTCAGCCCGTAGTCGGTACAGGATCACTCCCATGCAGGCACTCCCGCCAGCGCTATCCATGGGTGCATTTTCCCCACTATGGTCTGTTTTGTTTTTAATCACTCATTCTTAAGATGTTGATTTTTTTTTTTAAACTCAGATCTGATTTTATGTGTTTTGTGTTCCTAGCACTGCAAAAAAAGAGGATATAAAGCTGAGTGTTAGAAAGCTACTCAACAGGCATAACATTGTGTTTGGTGATTACACCTGGTCTGAGTTTGACGAGCCTTTTCTGACCAGAAATGTGCAGTCTGTGTCTATTGTTGACACAGAATTAAAGGCTAAAGATCCACAGGTAACTTAATTCTCAGAGCTAAGAAACAGTTAACCCGTAGCCCAAGAACACGAATTTGCTGTTTTGATAGTGTGTTGTGTAGATTTATTTGATTTTTTTCTCATCACAGCCCATTGATTTGAGCATGTGCAATATTGCACTCCACATCTTCCAGCTGAATGAGGATGGCCCCAGCAGTGAAAACCTGGAGGAAGAGACAGAAAACATAGTTGCGGCAAATCACTGGGTTCTGCCTGCAGGTATCTGTGACAGTAACAGTAGGTGGCGCACGCCTAGAACGGGAGGGTGGAGGACAGCACACATCAGCCTCCGAGATATTGTGTGTCTGTTGTGTAGTTTTAGGGCGTTTTATCTGTTAGGAAATAGGAAGTATATCACAAGAGAGAAAAGTAGAAATATCCAACATGAGACTACTTGGATGGGTCTCTCAAAGCCAGTGCTAATTGAGGGTTATTACGCTGTCGCTCTTCTTTCCTGCCCAGTTGGTCGGTCTTGCTGGACGACTCCTTCCTCCTACCTTCTCTGTGTTTCTCTGTGATAATGGGATCTAGCAGGCTGAATGCCACGTCTAATCCAGGTTAGGCCTGATGTCCTGAAAGCTAGACTCCACCTGCCACTCGGCCCTGCCCTAGTGTTGGCCTGTGGGGAGAGTGGTGAGTTCAGGATCAGTGCTTGGGTCCACGCGCAGGTCCACAGAAGGTTCATTACCTACCCAAAGTCACATGTGACTGCCACTTACTCAAAATCTTTAACTTACAAATGACTTTGAAAGTTTAGCTTCTCTGTAACCAGAATTATAGCTTGCTGCGTCTGGAGCAGTTGAGGATATCAGTGGCTCAGGGTGGATGTAACCAGTAGGTGCAAGGCTTGCTTTCCTAACATTTGGTTTTGTTTTGTTCTCTCAGCTGAATTCCATGGGCTTTGGGACAGCCTGGTGTATGACGTGGAAGTCAAATCTCATGTGAGTTGTGCTTTTTCCAGAAAGGCTTCCATATTTCAAGTGAATCATTATTGTGTTCTCTCTAGCACCTCTTATCTCATGTGGGCTTCTAGGAGTGCTGCTAGTCAGCACCCCATGCCCTGGGAGTCTGTCTTCTGTCCTGGGCGTCTCCTCTGGGCTTGCTCTGAGTGGAGCTGTACTCTGGGGAGTTCCCCTCAGGAGAAGGGGGAGGTTTCAAAAGTGAACCCACTTGCACTGGGTCACACTCCTTAGGAACCTGTGGGCTGAGACGGCAGTGTCAAGGGGCAGAGCAGGTGGGCGATCTGAGCGAGTACCACCATGTCTAAACCCCCTTCAAGGGGACGAGTCCTTCTGCACACAGATGGGGAGGGGAGGACACTAGAAGTCCGTCCTCACTACCCCCGTCACCCACCCCGGCTCCCCTAGGAGCCACGGGGACCCCAGAGCCCCGGCTGTTCTTTTAGCAAACACAGCTTGTCCACTGCTGTATCCCAGAGGAACGAGCTCACTGACTGGGTGTAGCCCTCAGTTGTTTTGTGTGTTCTTTGCATTGTAAATAAGCGATCTTTGAGTTTACTTTTATCCTTGTAATAGTCACACTCAGCACGTGTCCTCTTAGATTTTAAGACACCTTCTGAGGTGAAAGCCTGAGTGTGCCTGGTAGGCTCTGAAGACTCTCCTTCCCTCTGCTCATTCAGGACACGTTCAGCTGAACCTTTGTTCTGCCAAGGACTTTACTTCTGTCTTTCCTTTCTTCACGCAGCTCCTCGACTATGTGATGACAACTTTACTGTTTTCGGATAAGAATGTCGACAGCAACCTCATCACCTGGAACCGGGTGGTGCTGCTTCACGGTAAGCGTTTTGGTTTAATTTGACAAAATAAAACTGCGTGGAGTCAGGCTTTTCTTCCTGCCTTTGTCCTGCGAAAGTTACAGCTCCTTCTTCCTAGTGGAGCCAGTTGTCCCAGAATGTCCTCCTCTGTGAAGCCAGTCATGTTCACACTCTCTGCACTTTGGTTACTTGACCCTTCATAGGGCAGCCACCTGATCATTCCTTGTGACTTTTTATGCTGTTATTCAGCTTTCCAAATATCTGCCTTGTTTCCCCACTGGTTATGGGTTTCTCAGGATAGCAATTGCCTTGTATTTCTTCATAGTATCCTTGGAGTTTCTCTTGATGGATAATAAACTGCAAAAGCCCCCACTTCACAGAACTGTCTAGTTCTGGGAAGAGAATACTGGGGGTTTTTTTGTTGTTGTTATTGTTACTATCCCAGGAGAGAAAAAGAACCGAGAGAAAGCCCAAATTATAGTGAGATAAGAGCTATAATTAAAAGAGTAATTAGCTTCTTTATACAATGAAGATTGTAGGCTTGTGTTCAGTTTTATGAAAACAGTGTCTTTAGAGTGTCTTTAGAATATCTTGGCAAATTTTCTTAATACTAGAGTCAGAGGGTAATCACAAGGTGTTTTACTTAGTGCAACACAGTATTTCCCATTAGAATTGGTTATAGATTTACTTGTGAATTATAGAAAATGCCAAGGATCAGAATTGAACGTCATCATTTTCTGTTGGACGCGTTTGTGCTCCCACATCCGTGCCCTCAGAGCTCCTATCAGCCGCTGTGCTGAGGGACACGCAGGGCCCAGGCCTTGCCCCACCATTCTCCCTGTGTAGCATGGGGTTCAGGCCCACATGTGTGGCGCTGGAGTGAACGATGCTGGTGCCGTGGGCTTCAGGAACAGCAAACACCAGTGCCTGAGGTCCAGATGGTTATCAGGAAAGGTTTGTTTGACCTTTGAAAAGTGGGTTTTCATAATCAGCGGATTTAATAGAAGACATGTAGGGACAGGGAGGGTTTCCCTGAAGACGGAAAGAAAAGCAGAGTGGATACAGGCCAAGAAGCTCCTGGTGATGTTTTCTAGCATTTATGCTGTTAACAGATTTCTCAGCAACTTAAGCAATTTTTGTGATAATAACATTTATAGCATTACAGTCTGTTCCTTATGTTATATCCTGTGAATAATGCAGCTACTGTTTCAAGAAATCTGTTACAGCAGTAACTTAAAAACTTGTTTGCATTTTGTTACAGGTCCTCCAGGAACTGGAAAAACGTCCCTGTGTAAAGCTTTAGCCCAGAAATTGACCATCAGACTCTCGAGCAGGTAACTTGGGTAATTCGAGAGAGGAGAGCCGCTGAAGTGGGTTTGCTCTGTTTTCAGCTGTAATGACGGGAGGAGCTGCTGCTATTTTTAAATCATCTTACATGAATAGTAGGTGTCTCAGTGTAATTTAATGAGTCCTTCTGTACTCACATAGTCTTGCGCTCTGAGTCCAGTCCTCTTAAATGTGCTGAGACTCACTCTGTGACCAGCACGGGATCGCTTGTGGTGCCCGCCCCACGTACACTTTGAGGAGCGCTCTCTGCTCGCATTCGGTCGACCGTCCCATGGTTGCTTGATGTCTGTGCTGACAATCTGTCTGCTGCCCTGTCACTTCCTGGGAGGAGTGTCCAAGCCTAGTGCTGGGTTTGTCTGCCACTTCTTGAGTGTAGTCCATTTAGAGATTTATGGTTTCACTACATTTGGAGAGTATTTGGGCATTACCTCTTCAACTAATTCCTCTGCTCTGCCCCCATTTGTGGGGGTCCATTCATTTACACATTAGACTGTCTCATGCTGTCCTACTGCTCAAGTTTTAAAAATTTTCTGAGTTTCATTTTGGATAGTTTTCTGCAGTATCTGATCTGCTTTTACTTCTGTTCAGTGAAATTTCCATCTCTGAGAGTGATTTTCTTGTCTGAAGATTGCTCAGCTCTATTTATGCTTGTAAGCTCTGTCTACCAATTCCATCCTTGTTATCACTTGGGTCTGGTTACGAGTTACATTTTCCTGTTTCTTGGCGTGCCACATAATTGCTGAATGTGGACATGACGATTTGCAGTGACTAGATTCTCTTGCTTGTCTTTAATGACCACAGGATTTTATTCTGACAGGGGTTTGGGTACTTGTGTTTGGTGTAATCCTTGTGAGGTCTGCTGTCAATCTTTCTCAGGAGTGGTCTCTGTGGCCCAGACTTCACCCTCAGGAGGGCCCTCCTGGGTCTGAGTGAGCCCCTCAAGGACCAGCGAGCACCCTCGGCCCTCGGCCCTGGGGTCTCGAGCACTCCCGGGCTCTAGCGCTGGGTTCCGCCCTCACACGCTGCTGCCCCATGACAGTCGCCGGGCTTCATCTCTGCATGTCCCTCTCCTCTCTGGAACTCTGCTCTGTAGCCTCCGGACATCTCGGCTCCTGGGACCCCGGCCTCTGTCTCTTCAGCTCAGTGCCCTGGCCTCTCCTCTCGGGTCCCACCCAGTGTCACTCCAGCAGGAGCTCAGGGCTGTCGCGCTTGCCCCCTGCCCACCTCCCAGGTTACAGTCCCCGATTCTGTTGTCTGGCACCCTTCACAGACATTGTTTCACTGTTTTGTCTAGTTTTCTAGTTGGTTAAGGCAGAAGGTAAATCACCCTTTTAGCCTAGTATGCCTTCAGAAAAGGAAATCCTGTGAGATTTACTTTTAAATCTGTTTTCTTTTCAAAACTGTCTTAAAAGTAGGGAAGTTGCTCTATTTCAGCCCTTTGTTTTATGCTCAGTATCTTGACCTTTGTCTTGACATAGTGGAACACATCTGTGTTTGATAATCTCTGAGGGCAGTTTCCTGAAACGCCGGAAGGTGAAGGTGTTATTACAAGAAATGTGACGTTTTCCAGTACAGAGATCTGGAAATTGGTATTTATTTTGTGGCAAGAAGAAGCCTTAGCCAGCCTTTTTTGCTTTATTAACTAAAGTCTACTTTACTTAATAATCAAAATGCTTTATGATTAATTTTCTGTAATATTCAACCCAATCTATATTCACTAGGTTGTCTATCTTCCCCTTCTCCTCTTTTGTAAACAAAATTACTAAATGATGTTTTTCAACTGGAAAGTCATTGATACTTTTTAAAGTAATTATTTTTCTTCTGTGGACTCGCAACATGAAAGAAACTGTAAAAAAGATCTGGGAGTTGGCTTCTCTGCTGGCCCTTTCCTGTTTGATTTTAATCAGAACTAAGTGCATCCAGAGCCCTCACTGACTCCATGGTAAATGGGGTATTAGTGCTGGATTTCAGACAGCGTGTATCCAGGTTCCCTTTGAGTTTTCCAGGGCTCCAGGTTTGACGAAAGTAATTTTGTGCTGGAAAACAAATTCTCACATTCCTTAGGGTTTTGTGGAAGGAGAAAAAAATGTTCAACTGTATCCAAAAGACTTTTGATGCTTATGTTTTGATTTGCCATGTTAATACAGGTAATGGTTTTTGAACATAGGAATATAAATTATAAGTAGACTAAAAGCAGTATTAAGAATTAATTGTATTTAACTAGTTGTATTAACTATTGGAGAAGGAAATGCTAACCCACTCCAGTATTCTTGCCTGGGAAATTCCATGAACAGAGGATCCTGGTGGGCTACAGCCCATGGGGTCGCAGAGTCAGACATGACTGAGTGACTAAACAACCAAAAGAGTATTAAGTATTCTTCAGTTCAGTCGCCCAATCATGTCTGACTCATCACCAACTCTCAGAGCTTGCTCAAACTCCTGTCCATTGAGTTGGTGATGCCATCCAACTGTCTTATCCTCTGTTGTCCCCTTCTCCTTCTGCCTTCAGTCTTTCCCAGCATCAGGGTCTTTTCTAGTGAGTCAGTTCTTCACATCAGGTAGCCAAAGTATTGGAGCTTCAGCTTTAGCACCAGTCCTTCCAATGAATATTCAGGACTGATTTCCTTTAGGATCGACTGGTTTGATCTCCTTGCAGTTCAAGGGACTCTCAAGAGCCTTCTCCAAGACCACAGTTCAGAAGCATCAATTCTTTGGTGCTCAGCTTTCTTTATGATCCAACTCTCACATCCATACATGACTACTGGAAAAACCATAGTTTGACTAGATGGACCTTTGTCGGGAAAGTAACGTCTCTGCTTTTTAATATGCTGTCATAGCTTTTTTTCTGAAGGGCAAGCGTCTTTTAATTTCACGGCTGCAGTCACTGTCCTCAGTGATTTTGGAGCCCAAGGAAATAAAGTCTGTCGCTGTTTCCATTGTTTCCCCATCTATTTGTCATGAAGTGATGGGACCTAATGCCATGATCTTAGTTTTTTGAATGTTGAGTTTTAAGTCAACTTTTTCACTCTCCTTTTTCACTTTTCATCAAGATGCTCTTTAGTTCATCTTCACTTTCTGCCATAAGGGTGGTGTCATCTGCCCTCTGAGGTTATTGATATTTCTCCCTGAAATCTTGATTCCAGCTTGTGCTTCATCCAGTCTGGTATTTCGCATGATATATTCGGCATATAAGTTAAATAAGCAAGGAGACAATATACAGCCTTGATGTACTCCTTGCCCAATTTGGAACCAGCCCATTGTTTCATATCCAGTTCTAACTTGCTTCTTGACCTGCATACTGGTTTCTCAGGAGACAGGTCAGGTGGTCTGGTATTCCCATCTCTTGCCCTCACAGGCAAGTCTGGCTCAGTCTCTTGTGGAGTCACCGGTCCTTTCTCCTGGGTCCTGTTGCACACAAGGTTTTACTTGTGCCATCTGAGTGTCTCTGGAAGGTATGGGGTTTGATTCCAAATGTGATCTTTGCCCTCTTGCTGTCTTGCTGGGGCTTCTCCTTCAACCTTAGATGTAGGGTGTCTTTTTTTGGTGGGATCCACCATTCTTCTGTTGGTGGTTGCTCAGCAGTGAGTTGCAATTTTGGAGTTCTCGCAGGAGCAGATGAGCACACACCCTTCTATTCTGCCATCTTAGCACCATTGTTTTCTTGCTTTAATTCAAATGAAGATACCATTCAGTTTGAGACATTTAGTTTGCTCCAACTAGAACCATTGATGTTGACACATCTTGTTAGATTGTTCATAACTATTAGTATGCAGTTTGCAGGCACCTCATCCTGGGTCAGTAGTAACAGAGCAGTCATTCTCAGCCTGCTGGGCACTTAAGCAGTGTTGTATTATAGAGACAGAGGTGGTTGCTGCCAGGGATGTTATGGGACTGACTTGTAATGATTGCTGTCTCTCTTTTTTTTAAACCATCTTAGGTACCAATATGGCCAGTTAGTTGAAATTAACAGCCATAGCCTCTTTTCTAAGTGGTTTTCAGAGGTAAGTGTTTATACTAATCCCAGTTCTCTGGATTGTCCACCACACAGTTGAAAACTTGTCCAGTAGATTAGGCAAACTTTTTCCTCCAAAAGCTTTAGGAGAGAAATAGGTGAAATGGGAATGTGAACAGGGGCCGACTGTATGGTCAGAGGAAAGTTCCAGAGCTTAGTGATAACCTGGAAACCACCTGAGGCCTGAGAGGACCCTCTGCTTGTCACCTCTAGACCTGGGCTGGGGCACGGGGCGTTCAGTGTTACCTGAGGAGGGAGGGATCACCTTCCGATGGGACCGCACCCTCAGCTTGAGCCTTGTTTACCAGCTGTGAACTGAAGCACTCAGGCCAGGTAATGGCACAGGTGCCCCTCAGCTCTGGAAGGCTCTGCTGCAGGCCCTCCGTGTCGGATGGTGCCCCTGGCAGATGGTGGGTGGAGACAGGAGTCCTGTAGGAGGGGCGCCTGGCTGACTTGCACCCAAGACCCAGCACGTCCAGTACCGCTGGGGAGGGAAAGGTGGAAAAGGGGGCCAAGGTGTGGGTGTGGCAGCGGGCCTCTGGGTTCCCTGCAGACCTGGCTTCTCTGATTCAGGGAGTTTTCCGAGGGGCTATCAGGAGACGGTGGGCTTGTGGGGCCACCTAGGGTCAGAGCTCAGCTAGATGGAGACAGTGAACGCACGTGTGCACCAAGCAGCTTGAAGAGTACATGTTGATAATAAGGAGTGTTTTGTTTCCAGAGTGGCAAGCTGGTGACTAGGATGTTCCAGAAGATTCAGGACTTGATTGATGACAAGGATGCTCTGGTGTTCGTGCTGATCGATGAGGTGGGTGTGTTCACACCTGTGACTGGAGGAAGCGCAGGACTGGGTGGCCTTTCATGTTTCTGGCACCACCAGCCCCATGCTTGGCCAGCCTCCACAGGCTGTGTCCTGCAGTCCTAGCCCCGGGGGTCCCCACAAGCCCTCGGTGTGGTGTTCATGTGCAGCCTCCCCCCCCCACCGCGCGTCCACTTAGCTGACCACCCCGCCGCTCTGTGCCCACAGGTGGAAAGCCTGACTGCTGCCCGTAATGCATGCAGGGCAGGCGCCGAGCCTTCGGATGCCATCCGTGTAGTCAATGCCGTCTTGACCCAAATCGATCAGATTAAAAGGTACCACTGCTCACGCACACCCCCGGCCTTACTCCCAGCTTTTCCAGCTTAGGATGCGTCTGGCATTGTGTCTGGGCCCTGTCTTCTCTCTGTTTGAAGCAGCATGTGCTACATAAGCTTTTTAGAAATTAAGCACTTTTTACGTTATTGAAGTGTTAAAAATGCACAGCAAAGATTTGGTGTGGGGAGGGGGTACCCACTGCTCAGAAAAGGGGGTCTCCCTGACCCCCGTCCATTGCCCCAGGAGGAGTGGAGACTTGTCTCTGCAGTCTCTCTCACCTTCCTTGCCTCACGCGATTAAGGCCTGCACTGGTGACCATTTGTGAAAAGCCCGATCCTGGCATGTGGCTCCCAGCCGTGTGTGGGAACCCTGTGCACACTCCATGCTCGTCAGCCTCTGCCCAGACTCCTGGGCCCCGTGTGCCTCCCTCACCTGGCTCAGCCCTGCTCACCACTCTGTGGTCAGAGTACAGGGGTTGGTGGGGGGCAACCCTCCAGGCGCTCCGCGGCCACAAAGCTGCCAGTGGTCTGTGTGCTGTCTGCGGGCCTGGGGCAGCCCTGCCTCGTCCCCGGGACTCGAGCCCAGCAGGCCAGGCGGTGTGCTCCCCAGGGTGCCGCTGCCCGCTCCGTGCTGTCCCCACAGGGGAGCAGACTGGATGGCGGGGTCTCTGGGGAGTGTAGGAGCCGGAGGGGAGGGCCGCTAGTCCCCAGGGTGAATCATGCAGCTTGGCGTCGCGGCTGTCGGAGTGGTGAGAGTGTGTGACAGGCAGGTGTGGCTGTGCCCAGGCAGGCAGTGTCAGTGCTGGGGCGCAAGGACGCTGCGCAGAGTGAGCGCTTCACCGCGGTGAAGGGGGCAGGGAGCAGTCCAGCTGGGGCCCGTGAGAGCTGTCCATAGGCCGGGAGCTCGCAGAGCAAGAGCGGGGAGGTCTGCACTGTTGCAGCCGGGAGGACTTGGCAGGAATGAGAGTCAGGCGGAGCGCAAGAAGCAGGGCCTCAGAAGACCTCGTGGGGGTGGGCACAGGATAGGAAGCCGGCTGAACGCCTGGGCCCTGGTGCTGGTCTGTCCTCACACTGCGTGTGTCAGGGCAGGGGTGGTTGGGTCCCTGTGGCCCAGGCTGACCGGGCCCGCCCTCTGCCCACAGGCACTCCAACGTGGTGATCCTGACCACGTCCAACATCACAGAGAGGATCGATGTGGCCTTCGTGGACAGGGCTGATATCAGGCAGTACATCGGGCCGCCCTCTGCAGCAGCCATCTTCAAGATCTACCTCTCTTGCCTGGAAGAGCTAATGAGGGTGCCTTGAGTTTTTTCTCACTTTCCTAAGAACACATTAGCTTTCTTGTGTGTTCTTGATTTGCTGGCATAACTTACAGTGTCTGGTTCCTGTGCAGAAAGAGGTGTCACTCAGCCTGCACCCACTGTCTTACACTGAACACTGCACTTGTTGGGTCTGCAGGTTGAGCTGAGGGAGAAATCACTGACCGATGCTTTTGCTGCCCCATCCTTTGTCCCTGCAGTGTCAGATCATATACCCTCGCCAGCAGCTGCTGACCCTCCGCGAGCTGGAGATGATTGGCTTCATTGAAAACAACGTGTCCAAGTTGAGCCTCCTTCTGAGTGAAATTTCAAGGTGTGTACTGACCTCACTTATTCTTTTTAAAAAATTTTTTTGGAACATAGTTGATTTGCAGTAAATATTGTAGAGCAAAGTGATTCAGTTATACATACACGTATGTACTCCTTTAGATTCTTTCTTATAGGTCACCACAGAGTACTGAGTAGAGTTCCCTATGCCCCACAGTAGATTCTTATCTGTCACCTATTTTACATGTAGTAGCTTGTATGTTATCCAGAGTTGAAGGGCCGACTCATTGGAAAAGACCCTGATCCTGGGAAAGACTGAAAGCAGAAGAGAAGGGGGCGGCAGAGGATGACATAGTTGGATGGCATCACCTACTCAGCGAACATGAGTTTGAGCAAACTCCGGGGGGGGTGGAGGACAGGAGCCTGGCATGCTGCAGCCCGTGGGGTCGCAGAGAGGCAGACACAACTGAGCGACTGAACAGCAACGTGTCAATCCCAGTCTCTCAATTTACCCCTCTCCCCCATGCCCCTCTGGTAACCAGAAATTTTGTGTCCTAAGTCTCAGTCAGTTTCAGTTTTGTAAGTAAGTTTATCTGTATAATTTTTTAGATTACAAGTGATATCATATGATATTTGTCTCTGTCTTGGTTCACTTAGTATGATAATATCCAGGTCCATCCGTGTTGTTGCAAATGGCTTCATTTCATTCTTTTTCACTGTGGAGCAATATCCCACTGTGTATGTACACCACGTCGTCTCTGTCCATTCACGTGTCAGTGGAGATCTGGGTTGTTTCTGCATCTTGGCTATAGTGCATAGTGCTGCTATGAACATAGGGATAAGTATATTTTTTGAATTTTTGTTTTCTCAAGATATTTGCCCAGGGGTGGGATTGCTGGGTCATATGGTAGCTCTATGTTTAGGATTTTAAAGAACCTCCGTACTGTTCTCCGTAGTGGCTGTATCAGTTTGCATTCCCACCAATAGTGTAGGAGGGTTCCCTTCTCTCCACACCCTTTCCAGCATTTATTGCTTGTAGACGTTTTGATGATTACTGTTCTGACTGGTATGAGGTGATACCTTACTGTAGTTTTGATTTGCATTTCTCTAATGATTAGTGATGTTGAGCCTCTTTCCATGTGTGTTTGCCATCTGTATGTCTTCTTTGGAAAAATGTTTGTTTAGATCTTCTTTTCATTTTGGGATTGGGCTGTTTGTTTTTTTGATATTGAGCTGCATGCGCTGTTTGTATGTTTTGGAGATTTAATCCCTTGTCATTTGCTTCGTTTGCAAGTATTTTCTCCCATTCTGAGGGTGACCTCGCTTTGACAACCTAGAGAAGCCCGTTCTCTTTGGTCACAGGGGTTGTAATCGCTTGTGGCAGCCGAGGTGGTGATATGGGTTGGGTGGCAGAGGCTGAATCCCAGGGCATCTCACCCACAGCAGATGCCCTCTGGCCTCCCCAACCCTGGGCTCCTGGATGGGAGAGTGAGGCCAGCTGCCTTCCATGTGTGCCCATGGACAGCAAGCAAAGCACTGCGCTAGCACAGGACAGGCTCTCAGATTAAGGCTGTCTGTAGCATCGGTGGATTCTTAAGCAATATTTGTTAAGTTTTTACAAATGGCCAAGAAAGTAAGGTGGAGGCTTTTTCTTTGATGAGCAGAGTAAACAGTTAAAACAGTCAGGGCGCTGGCCTTGGTGCTGTGGGACGGACAGTGTTTGATCCTGCTTCCTGGGAACTGAGAGCCACGAAACATGTGAGAATCCCCGGCGCACTTGCCCGAGCCCAGGCTGGTAGCACTGGCAAGTGCTCAGGTGGCCCCGGAGATTGAGCTGGGAAGTAGAGCAGAGCCTCTGAAGACAGTTAGAATTTGGATAAACTGGAGAGAGGTCAGGGAGACTGTGTTCCCTATGTGAGGGCCTCGGGTGGGCTGCGTGGCAGACGCCAGGTGCCAGACACGCTGGCGAGGCTTTGGAGAGAGTTGGTTACAGTGGTCAAGGTTGGACAGAGGGGAGCAGTGCAGACTTGTGCAAGAATTCAGAGGTGTGAGCCGGCCTGTACCCACCTCATGGTGCCCCGGCCGAGGCCGTGGGTGGTGTCAGAATCCTGCCCCTCCTGGAGCGGTAGCTGAGGCCTGGGGGAGACTGCCCACCCTCCAAGGGGCTCTAGGGAGAGATCAGGACTCGTCCTGAAGTGCACCGCGGTCTGTGTGGAGCTGACGCCGTGTGGTCATATTCACAGGAAGAGTGAGGGCCTGAGTGGCCGTGTCCTGAGAAAGCTCCCTTTTCTCGCTCACGCGCTGTACATCCAGGTGAGTGCCTGGGCCCTGGACCCCTGCTGCCCACTCTGCCCGCAGGGCTGGCCTCGAGGAGAGTCCTGCCTGCCTCTCTGGGGTTTCCGCCTCCTCTTGTGTTTCTGAAGTGACAGGCCCGGGGGCAGTGGAGGGCTGGCGTGTGTCTGCTCACCTCACTGGCGTGTGGAAAGCGCATGCCCAGGCCCTCCCTGCCTGCTCAGAGTGCTTGTGCCCTAGAGGTGGGTGCTGCCAGGCCACCCCCACCCCGAGGGCGAGGACCGCCACAGTGTCGTGTATTTTCCAGGCCCCCACTGTCACCATTGAGGGCTTCCTCCAGGCCCTGTCTCTGGCCGTGGACAAGCAGTTTGAGGAGAGAAAAAAGCTCTCATCGTGCGTGTGATCCGCCCCCCACCCCCACCCCCCCGTCTGTCCTCGGTGAGCACACCACAGGAAGGCTCCATCGCTTCCTCACTGCAGCGGCTACCCCAGGATATATGAGGCCACGGCTGAGACTTGCAGGCCTGTGTGGTTCAAGCAGCGTGTTGTGCTTACGTGATGTTGCTCAAGAAGTGTGTTGCGTTTACGTACTTTAACTGCATGCTCGAAGACAAAAGAGCCTGTTTGCTCTGTTTTGAAGGACGACCATCTGAGCTCAGCGTCTCTTTATAAAGAACTGTCTAGATGTCCTGGTTCTATCCTGCTTCTGGTTGATTGGACCCAAAATGCTGACATTTTATTTAAAAAGATGATTAATGTAAGTTTTATAGAAACAAAACAAACTACATTGCCTTAAAGAAGAATGTAATCATAGCATTAAAAAAAAAAGTACACGTTGCTCAAGACGAGGCAGCATTTGCTTCCCGCTGCAAGCTTGTCCTGGTTAGTGCGCTAGTGCGCTAGTGCGTTAGTCTCCAGGTGTTCTGGAGACGGCGATGAATGAGGACCTGTTCCTGTGTTGCAGAGATCAAGAGAAAAGTTTTAGGCCCAGTGCTCTTCTTGGTAGCAGATACGCTCTGCTTATCGGGGAGGGACAGCTGACATGGGGCCTGCCTCACTGGTCACCAGCGTGGCCGGCCTCACAGCGATATTTCCCGGTGAGTCGTTTGTTGCAGGACGCCAGTCACGGCTTAAACGAAGATTCCCAATAACAGATGTAAAATGAATTGGCCGATAATGGGTGTATTCCACAGAACCTTGTTTTGCTTTTATTTCATGCTAAAATAAATTTCATATCACTGTTTTATAAAACATTTTTAAAAGAGTATGTTAACTTTTGTCTTAAAACTTCTTAAGTATTAAAAATCTTTTTCCAAAATTTTCTCATTTTGATTTTCTTAACTCTCAAATGCTTTGAGTTTTAAGTCACTCAAACGACGAGGTAACTTTAGCCTGTCTCACGCTGTGGTGTGGAGCTGCGCTGCCTGCACGTGGCCATGCAGCCTGGGGAGGCCTGGTCGGAGCTGGGTTGGAGTGGGAGACCGGGGTTCCACCCCTGGGACCATCAGCCAGCCTTGGCTCCGGTCAGGTCCAGGGCTAGAGCGAGCACGGCCTTGGGGGCCAGGGCCCGGCTCTGTGGCTTCCTCAAGACTCAAATAGGGTGAGAAGAGAGGTCTGTGGGCCCTGGGGTCAGGACGGGGGCGCTCCATGCTCCAGGGTTGCTGCTGAGGAGCCCAGTGTCCCTGATGGGAAGAGAGGGTCTGGGGAGGAGGGGCTAACCAGGGCAGGCCGTGCAGAGGGCGGACAGACAACGAGGGGGCACCCCGGGACTTCTCCCCGAGAGGGCTGGAGGCAGGTGGTGGGGGTGGGAGGGCAAGGACTGTAGCAGAATCTGAGGGGTCGTCCCTGCAACGGACCACTGAAGCCCCGAGAGGTCTGGGGGCGGGTGGTGGAGGCGGGAGGGCGAGGCCTGCCCCAGAATCTAAGGGTCGTCCTTCCCCCAGGCCCTTTCCCAGTGTGGGGGTGCCCACGGACACCAGGGGGCAGCGCCGCTCTGCGGGATGGACAGGAGGGGCCTGGGGCAGAGGGAACAGTGGTCCCTGCCCTGGCCCCGTAAGCCCCGCCCACACACGCCAGCCACGCGTAGGGGCCCAGGGGACATCTGAGCACCCGTGTGCCGGACAGGGGCGGGGGCGTGGGTGTGTTGGCCTCCTCCTAGGGCGCCAGCTCTCTCTGGGTCAGGGGTGGGGGCTGGGCCTGGTAGGAGGAGGGGTCGTACCCGGGCCCCCAGCCGGAGGCGGGCACCAGCCTTGTCGGCACTTCCTGGGCCGTGGCTGAAAGCCGGAGGTGCCTTCGGCTGGGCCCTGGGTTCAGGATGGGGGCATGCTGTCCCCCCGCAGGGGCGGGCGCAGGCGGGAGAGGGGGCAGAGCGCCACCCTGGGACACCATGGGGCATGGTGCTGCCTGCCCGGCCTCTGCTGAGCCCACGGCCCAGCGCAGAGGCCTCAGATCGACCCCTCCACGGGCCGGGGCACCTGCAAGAGAGGCTGAGAACACAGCCCGACAGAGCAGACCATCCCCAGCAGGATGACCCAGAAGACAAGGCGATGGGGACCGAAAGGGTGAGCGTCACGGTCACGCCACGGAGGAAACACGTGCTGAGCTGCGGTCTCCGCATCCACAGCCCTTCTGCCCGGTGCGGAGGCGATGCAGGGCAGAAACGCCCCAGGAGTGAGCCGATAACCGCAGCTCTGCACCCCCCTCCCCCGCGACCCCCCGAACCTGGAGGCCTTTCTGCGGAGGCTGTGGTTCCCGCCTGGCAACTTCTTCACCCCAGCGAAGGGGCCGCTCCCGGGGAGGTGGCTCTCATCACCATGGCAGCCTTGCTCCATGGCTGTAGTGTCCTTTCGGATGGGGAGGTGAGTTTTCCATCTCCCGAGTTCTGATTTCTGACTCAAACTCCTTACCGTCCAGAACTGGAAACTTTTTGTGGTTTGTCACTGTGTGTCATTCAGGGCTGGAACCTTCTCTCTCTCCCCAAAACTGTTATTTATGGATGGAAACCTTATTTCTGTGTGTCTGGACCTATCTATCTGGCTGGAAGCCTTCTTTTTCTCTAACATGGGTTATCCTTTGCTCCTGAAAACTTCTTTGTCTGTAATCTGAGTTCGCACTTGTTGGAAACCTTTCTCATTTTCTCTGTAGTGTGACTGTGAGGATCACCCTTGAAACCCCTGTCACCTCATCCTCCAGTCATCCTGCTGAGGACGGTCTGCTCTGTTGTTGGAAACCTATCTCCTCTGTCCTAAGTCATAAGTTAGGACAAGATGACTTCCTCCCCAGTCACCTGAGTCATCATTGCTGACCACAAAACTTCTTCCTGTATCCCGATGTCATTCACGACATGAAAACTTTTTTCTCTTCCAGAGAATCATCACTTCAGAGGGGGAGGAAACTTTTCTCTGTGTATCACCTGGGCTGTTTGTGGCTGCAAACGACCTTCGTCACCCAATATGCCTCTGTGATGGGCGAGCTTCCGTCTGGACCACCTGAGTTAGGATTTATGACCAGGAGACTTCTTTCTGCGTCACCCAACTTGGGTTTTATGACTGGAATCATTTTATGTTACCTGGGCGACCACATGCGACTGGAACTTTGCCCTGAGTCCCTGGAGTTACCACTTAGGATTGGAAACTGTATTTATGTGAATTCCAACTTAGCATTTGTGACTGAATCTTCTCTTTCTACCCCCGGTGTTGTCACTTATGGCTGGAAGCCATCTTTCACCATCACCTGAGTTACCATTCCTGGCTGCAAACTTTCCTCTTTTACTAGTTTTAAGCAGCAACCTCAGTTTGCTGCCTGAGTTCTCATTTGTGACGTTCCCTTCTTCCTCTGACACACGAACCCTCATTCGCCACAGGACACCTTTTGTCCTGTCACCTGAGCCGTCACACCAGGTCAGAACATTTCCTTCTCCGTGACCTGTTACCTTTGTGACGAAAAGTCTTTTTCTGTGTCCTGCGATTATTTGTGGAAGGCTTTTTATAATACCGGTCACCATTTTCGACTAGAAGCCTTCCCCCGTGTCGACTCGTCGTCATTCACGGCTGGTTTGTTTCTCTCCTGAGTGACCAGCCTATGACCGAACAGTCTTCTTTCTCCGTAACTTACGACAAGCTACCTTGTTTCTTTATCGCCTGACACTTAGGCCTGGGGAACTTTCTTCTCTTAGCTGACTTATCATTTATGAGTGAAACACTTTTTCTTTGTCACCTGAATCATTAGTTATTGGAAACCTTTTTTTCCACCTTTTTTATGACTAGAAAACTTTTTTCTCTATCATCTCAGTTCTCTTTTTTGACTAGAAACCCTCTCTCTGTATCACCCGAATGATTACTTATGACTGGAAGCCTTTCTCTATAAGTTCTCATTTGTGACTCGAAACCCTCTTTTCTAGCCTATGAATTATGGCCGAAAACTGGAAGTTTTCTTTCCCTATCACCTGAGTTACAATTTTTGATTGAAAAGCTTTCACTTTCTCTTACTTGATAGATTTCTATATCACTTGAGTTATTATTTATATCTGGAAACACTCTATCACATGATTTATCTTTTATGACTTGAATCTTTCTTTATCACCTGCACAATCAATTAAAAGTAGAAAAGTTTTTCTGTCTCATGCTGTTGATGGTCACCATTTATGACTGGAAATCCTACTTCTCTATTTCCTGAATTATCATTTATGACAGAATTTTTCTGTCTCACCTGAGTTATCATTTATGGCTGGAAAACTTTCTTTTCTGTCACCTGATTTATCCTTTGTGACTGGGAATCCTCTGTATCACCGTCTTTCTCTAGTGTGTTTTATTCTTCATGACTGCGGTTTTCCCTTCTCTATCACTTCACTCTTCATTATGACATGAAGCCTCTCTGTCTCCTGAGTCATCACGTAATACTGGGAAACTTCTTTATGACCTTATCAGTTCAGTTCAGTTCGGTTCAGTCCCTCAGTCGTATCCGACTCTCTGCGACCCCATGGACTGCAGCACGCCAGGCCTCCCTGTCCATCACCAACTCCTGGAGCTTGCTCAAACTCATGTCCATCGAGTCAGTGATGCCATCTAACCATCTCATCCTCTGTCATCCCCTTAAAATTCCGTTTATGAGAGGGATTGTTTTTCTATATCTTATCATTTATGATGGAAACACTTTTCTGTGACCGTGGTTGTTATTTGTGACTGGATACTCCTTATTTGTAAGTATCTCTTTTAGGTAAAATTTATGACTGGAAACTTTGTTTCTTATCTGCTGAGTTTTCATTAGTGACTGGAAACATTTTGAGTTATCATTTATGGCTAGAAACCTTATTTTTTTTATAAACTGATTTATGACAGGAAATCTTTGTTCTCCATTACTTGACTTATTACTTATGACTAGAAGCCTTCCTTATCTATTACTGAG